AAATCTATAGAGTAGTACGATCAACCAAGTTCTTCTACTTTAATAATGAAGTAACTATAGCATAATCATCTTTTAGTAATGTCCAAGAACCATGTAAATATGTATGAAGTTTCTTGAAACCCCAAATTGTCGTGAAGTAGTTCACCTCCACTGGTTGTAAAGTACAACTGATATGTAATGGGATGGTGTTGACTAAACACATTTGGGCTCTTTTGCATCAGCACAGCTCCAAGACTAATATCAAAAGCATCCACATGTAAAATAAAAAGTTGAGTGTAGTTAGGATATGTTAAAACTAGAAGAGTCGTCAATAACTCTTTAAGATTCGTAAACGCTTGCTCACAGTCCACAGACCAAATGAAAGATGACATTCACGATTGCAGCAACACTTACAATGGTGTAGTGTGATAAAAAAGATGATCAACAAAATGCAAGATATTGCACCTTGCCCAAAAAACATTGCACATCATTTACATATTTCAAAGTAGAAAACTTTAGAATATCTATAAGTTTGTCAAAATTAACTTGCAAATCCTTACGAGAAATACAATACCCAAGATAAATCATGTTCTTTGACCCAAACACGCACTTCAACCGCTTTAACTTTAATTCAACACCTTACAAACATCATGGATGTGTTCCTTTTATATCCTTTATAAATGGATCAAGACATCATCAATAAAATCAGCAATCACTTTTGCTATGTTACAAAAAACCATCATTCGTTGGAAAGTTGTTGGAGCATTGTTCAAACCAAACAACATCACTAATAAATTGTATAAACTAAAATATATATAAAATTTTTTCTTAGGAATATTTTCCTTGGCCATTATCATTTGCCAGTACATAGAAGCAAAATTTAATTTGGTGAACTAATGACTTCTCCCTAGACAATCCACGATATCAATAGTGTAAAGAAGAGGGTACACATCCAAGATCATCACTTCATTTAACGGACGATAGTTAATGTAAAAAGAAATACTCTCATTAAACTTCATCACAAAATAAGGTTCATATGCTCAAAGACTCCATAACTTTTGAATAACACTATTTTCCAACATCTCTTTGATGTTTGTATGTAAATTTTTTAAATTTTTTGGTAATTGACAACAAATAGAAACCTTGATTGGATGAGCATCTTTAGTCGGAATAGGATGACATATTGCAATCTTGACCCCAAATAATAGGTCAAATTCAAAAAAATTGGCATACTGCTTCATGAACTAATTAACCACTACAATATAAAAGCTGTCAAAAGGATTGGAAGAGGGAATAAAGGAATAAAATAAAAATATAAGAGGAGGTAATAAAGAGACAAAAGTGATGGAAGTAGAGGGTTAAAAAGGAACAAAAGTGAGAAGAATGGAAAAAATATAAAGAAGTATAAAATAAGGGGGAGAAGTTTCAAAATCATATTTGATATGATTGTGCTGCAACCAATCCATACTAAGAATGAGGTCAAATCCTTGATTTGGCAGCACCTACAATATTTGCAACTCAAGCTCAAAATCACTCACACTCATAACTAAGTTCACCTCATCCTGTATACATGTGTGTGTACTATTATTGCTATATAGAATGAAAATTGGCTCTACCATATAATAGAAATATAAATCGCAACATATGGCAATAGGCCGAGCAATACAAGATAAATTCAAACTTGTATCAACCAATAGTCGACGGTTGTCTTCAACAAGCCCAAAACACCCCAACCAACAAAAAGTAGAGAGAATAATAGGAGACCTATTCTTATAAAAACAACTTTGGAAAGTAAATACTTGATGAATTAATGCTAAGTGAACCCTTTAATGATACTCCCAAAAGAAAGATGGAAGGGTCATTGATTTATTTGTATAAGGACCTTTTGCTACTTGCGTAACTTCTTGTTTCTCGAAAGCATCTTTATGTTTAAACCTTCCACTACAGTAGCACAAATAAGACGTTGTTAACACCAATGTCTCCACCTAGAAAATGGAGGTTGCTAATCTGGAAAATGCTGACAATACCGATAAATGTGACTAATTTCATCATACACATCATGGCCACGACCACGTCCTTACCCTTATCTTTGAACTTGGGTAGCAATGGCATCAACTTCTATTGAAATAGGACCATCTCCCATAGGAAGTGGAGCTAAAGGACATGTAACAAGAAGTGGAAAATGTGACATTTTATAACATTATGTTAAGTGAAGAACATTGTCAAGGGTGGCTAGAGCAAATATATACACAATTCTTACAAGATTTTGATGAAGTGCTGGCCACAATATTCCCAACTTGATTTACTTTGACATATTAAGCTTTGCATGAAGCAAAAAGCTTCAGAAATAAACACTAAATTGCATTACAAACTTAGATGGCCTTTCACAAAGATGATGCAATTGTTGAAAGGCATCATCACAATCGTCAACATATCCGAATGTGCATTTGAAAATATTCAAGAGAATGCTCCAATCCTCATGAGTGGTTGCGCTCAAACTATTATACCATTGTAGCATTGTACCTTGGAGACATGTGGGAAATTCAAATAAATGCCAAACATCATCCCAAAATTGATATGTGGCAATTATTATGAAGTGATCAAACAAATGGTATACATCATCCCTAGGATTCCCACGGAATAACTTTAGCTAAACTCAAAGATTGACAACAAGAGCAAGAGGAGTTGTAACACATGTTATGAATGCCATTATTAACTAAGTCTAATTATTCAACTGCAACTATATAGCATCAAGTAAATCCACCAATTAATACTCTAAAGTCAAAGGAGGAGCAAGCTGCTATTTTACCATGAAAATGAATGAAAAGACAAAAAAAAAAAAGAGAAGAAATTGAAAAAGCTATAAGGAAAGGGAAATTTAGACAATGCAAAAGTTAAATCTAAAATAAAATTTTAAATCCAAGCACTCCTTAAGGACAATCAAATTTGCCCTTCACATCCACCAATGTGAATGTGTAGAATATGAAAATGAAATATAAAAATATGCACATCAATTAGCCCAAACACCAGATTGAAACCAATCTAACAACTACCAAAATCCCACTATGCTAATATGAGTATATGGCACTATAGCTGTACACTTGGACCTCACATATTTAAATATAACATAGAATAATTTTGATGAACTCAATAAAATCTTAAATATGTTTGGAGCATATTCTTTCAGATAATGGTCTAGTATTTATGGTTGAGGCATTTTACGTTTTGACGTCTCAGTTAGGGATACACCACACTTTCACGAGTGCTTATCATCCACATTTATATAGTTTGGTGGAACGATTTATTCGGACCTTCAAAGGGATAATCACGAAATATATAAACTTTCAACATTCGAATTAAGATTGTTATTTGCCATCTCTTCGGTATGTGTATGTCATAGGGGTGTAGAGTTCTATTGGTGGTTCACTATATAAACTTTTATATGGTCATGATCCAATACTACCAACAAAATTGAGTTTACCTTTGTGATTGTCACAAGCTGTTAATGCTAAATTGTGGGATTAGTATTTGACAAACATTTTTCCACTTGTCTGAGTAGTGTCTGTTGAACACTTGGACTATATATAAGTGGAACAACAATAATGTTATAACTCCCATCATCGTCCACCTTTGGAGTACAAAGTGGATGATTTAGTGTTAATCTGTTTTCCCAATCTTGCAGTACATGGTTTATTTAAGGGGCTCTTTGTTTAGTGGAAAGGACCATATTAAGTGTTGTGGCAAGTTGGACTGCAATTTTATGAGGTTTGACATGACATCTAACAAACTAATCCTCCAGAAATTGGCAATTAAAACACTTCATACAAAGGGATTAAGAATAGATAGTTCCACTTACAAATCCACCAATACCCCCTTCTAATATTCCTCCAAATCCCAACCCATCCACGAGAGAACCTTGGTAGTCTTCCATCATTCTGGGAAGTAGAGATAATGTGAGGTCCAAGTGTATAACTATGATGCTATATATTAATATTACTATAGTGGGATTTTGGTAGTTGTCAAATTAGTTTTAATCTGGACCACTCACTCCTGTAAATAAGCTAGGGTTTTTGGGTTAATTGATATGCATATTTTTGTATTCTCTTTTCATATTTTATACACTCATATATATTCTATATACTCACAATGCAAATTAAACAGAATAATACACTTTATTAAAAAATTATTTAAATTTTATTATAAAGTTTTTTTTCCTATATTTGGAGATAACATATATAAATATTATGACCTCTTTAATTTATATAATTTCCTAATAATTTGTGAATTTTTTAAAAACTGTTTTAACTTTATTTTTCCATTTTTTAATTTAATTAGAATTTAACTACTATATATTTCCAAAGTGCTAAATAATTCTCTAGTTTGATATTTAGTACTAAATAATAATTTATAGTGCAAGCATATATTTATTCTATTTAGATATAAATAATTGATAAGTGTCATAATATGTACAACAGTAGTTACTCAGAAAATAAATGAGTTTGTCAATATACAAATTATTCACAATGAACTTTATATTACTACCCATACAAATAATATTATTTAATTTATTGATTAGGGCTAAACTGATATTGCAATAAGAGCATTTCTTTTAAAAACCTTTAAAATTATAAATAAGTTTTTTGGATATTTAAAATATATTAAAATATTCTTTAATTTTTAAATGTCATCATTCAGGTAAGTTTCACAACTTGGCATAGTTATCCTGTTTTTATTAGTTCAGATTTTACTATTTAACTTGCTAATAGCACAAATAGATACCATTAGCAAACTTAAAACTTCAATAATTGCAAAATATATTAGCAAGGTCTAAACCTACTTACCGTTTAATTTCTAATCCTAATCCTGGTGAAGAAAATGTCCTAGAGTATACTTTTTAAATATTCACGTCAGAAGTGTGTCATACATACCCCACAAGTTGGTGAGATTCATGGATTTATTATTCTCGAACAAAAGTCTAGAGGACCCACAGACCTCCAAACGAATCAGATTGGTCCACTGTGAGTTATCAAAGGCGTTTCTTGTATAAAATATTTCAGACATCCACAGACCCAGTACGCAATGCAAGCTTTCCCGCCCACCCAGATTAGCAACAAAACCATCCAAGAAACTACAAGAAGGACATGAAACAAACCAAATCAACAAGATCAAGAGCATACAGCAACACCATTCAATCAGAAAAAAGAAAGAAAGAGAAAAACATGGCACGCGAATTGTCTCTCCCCCGTACGCTAGTACGGCGGACACGAACTAGTGATTGATCCCACAGTGATCCACTCTGTTTTTTTTCTCAGGCATCAAATGCTTGATGAGATTCCTGCAGTAGCGCCGTGGGCTTTTGGAACTGGAAGAGATCGCTGATCCCGCCCACGAACCTTTGCTGCTGGTAGTGGCGCTGATGATCCGGATCGCTGTGATAGAGCTGTAGCTGAAACGACGATTCATCCACTTTCATGGGCTTGTTGTGAGCGATCATCGAGCTCGCGACCGGCGGCGACGGCGACGATGAGGAGCAAGACCCCCACTGCTCGGAGGCTGACAGAAGAGAGAGAGCATCGCTTGTGGTGGGATGATTGATCGCCCCGGGCTCCAGCGGCGACGCCATCACGATGGATGATTTCGCGGCCGGGGATGGAGATTGGGAGGAGGATGGCGGCGATGGCGATGAGGCCGCTGCGTGGCATTTGAGGAACTGGTACACGCCGTGGGTGGCGATCATGTCCTGCTTGGATTTGAGCAAGAAATTGGAGTGATTGTACGCCGCGAGCTGATCGTATCGGCAAGAGGAAGACGAGGGCCAGTTGTTCTTGCTCACGATGAAGCTCCCATCGAGCAAATGCTGTGGAGGATTCATGAAATTCCCTGCCAGCCAATTCTCTCATCGAGATGAGTGCCAAGAAGAAAAGAAACAATCACTCACCGGAGGAGGAGAATCCCAAGATCGAGGAAGGGATCACGAATGGATCGGGCGGAGGGGGCTTCCTCCGCCGCTGGTTGTGACCCGCCAAGCGCCGCCGGCAGCTCCTCTTTCCCTCGTCGAAATACCCCAATCCATGGAACCTACGAACAGGGGATTCACAAAGATCGATCAGCCAGAGGGAGAGGCGCACAATCCATCGATCCGAGCTGCGAATCCACACAGACCCAACACGCCCAGATCGAGGCACTCACAGACCTGCTACATTGCTGGCAGAATCGCTGCTCCTGCCCCTTGACGATGCTCTTGGGCGCCTTGGAGTGGAGCTCGCAAACGCGGTGCCGCCGGTGGTAGCCCTTGGATCCGCTCAAATCCGCGCCGCAGCCATCGACCTGGCATCTGGGCGTCGCCGCCGGTTGCGCTACGCCCCGCTGCTTCTTCCTCGTCGGCGGGCTCGCGACGATCGCAGTAGCAGCACTGGTTTCTTGCGGAGCAATCGCGGTCGGAGCTCCATTTGGCGAGTCCTCGAAGTAGATCCTCTTGCCCAGCTTGAGGCCCATAGCGCTGGGCGAGCTCGTGCTGGGCGGCACGATCATCGAATTGCCCGCATTGTGCTGCTGCTGCTGCTGCTGCTGCTGCCTGGACGAATTCACCGCCGCCACCGCCGTGGCCGCGACGATCCCATCGCTCATCAAGAGGCTGGTGCTGCTATTGTCCCACCCCCAGGACGATGGAGAGGACGATGTCGGTGCCCAGCAAGCGGCCATAGCCAAGAGCTTGGTCGGGAACGAACGAACGAAAACGACGGCGGCGACAGAAGGCGGGTTGACTGCCCGGTGGGAGGTTTGAACGCTCGCTACCCCATCGAAGAGCGCGTATATATACGCCGTATGGTCGCCATGATAGAAAGGTGTCAAAAAAGATTCGCTTTCAAGAAAAAAAGGCGACCGGGGGTTCGAATGCGGCGAGGACCGCAGCAATCTCGACAGTCCGATCGGGGCCACGCGTGTTATTCCCGGACGTCGATCGATTGATGTGGTAATAAGGAACACGTGCCCCAAATGACCATCGCCATCCCCTACCCAAGGAAAAGGAAAGCCTAAAGAAAAATTTGGCCATGCTTTTGGTCGGTACGTGGCTTTACGAATTAAAAGGATTGATATCGATTCTCGATCTATGATCTTGGTTTCTTCCCCTGGGGTGGGTCTCATGGAACTGATTGAAAGAAATGGCATAGCACTTGGGCTGTGTAAAATTCGCAAATCTGGCGATGGGATGGCCTTAGGGTAGGGAGTGTGCGATTAGGGCATGAAAATGTGTGCCATGGTCGGTGATTGTGCCTCTTTTCAACGCGACAGGGAAATCGCCCCCGACCCCCGCTGCCCCAATCTCCAACCAATTGGGAGGAAATGGCGCGATTTGGAGCCATCCATCCATGGTGGATCCTCTTGCAGTGTTTCCTGCCACTCCATGTGGTGGATTCACTGATCGACCCCCAAGTCAATCAATTTGCCAGTGTCAGTGGGGAAGAAAGGGGGAGAGAAAGCTTTATCGCCTTTAAAAAGATTTTTGACTGTAGCGCGGGAGATGAAGTGGCGCTTTGGTGACATTGCGACCACGTCAGCCCTAATGTAAACTGTGCGCGCACGTCAGCCATAGAGGTACAGCGGGGCTAAGTGACGTGGATTTCAGGGTTTGTGCAGACAATGGAGGGCCTGGAGCTGAGGCGATTGGAGCGAGGCGATTTTGACAAAGGTCTGGGGAGTTTTGCGATTTTAAAAGCTCTTGAATCTGCCGATCTGGTGCTGCGATAGGATTCCTCCAGCTAATGCAGCAGCTGACCGTGGTTGGAGATGTCTCGAGGGAAATGTTTGATGGTATGATAGAGAAGAATTTCGGTCTAAACGCTTTGTTTTGATTCTAGCCAAGATGCAGCAGCTGGAAAAGCTTGGAGACTATCATAGGATTGTTGTGATCGAAGGTAAAAATACTCTCTGGAAACTTTGCAGCTTCTCCTCTTTCGATTTTTTTGTTGTGTAGATGTGAAATCCGGCCGGGTTGTGGCCACCGGCAGCATTTTTATCGAGCACAAGTTTGCTCGGAGCTGTGGAAAGGTGATCTTTCTCTTCTTTTTTCTCTTGTAAATGCTTTTCATTTTTATCAGGTGGGACATCTAGAAGATGTTGTCGTGGATGAACGTATGAGAGGGTGTCACTTAGGCCAGAGGTACTTATATTTTGCTCTATCAATCTTTGCTCAACAATCACAGCGCAGAGTGATCGAAGCTCTCACCAGTTTCGCAAAGGATGCTGGGTGTTACAAGGTACCTTGCAATCTTCTTAGAGCTTTTATCAACTGGGAATGTATATATATGCGCAGGTGATTCTCGATTGTAAGCCCGAGAACGCTGCGTTTTATGAAAAGTGCGGGTACTCCAAGAAGGAAATCCAGATGGCAAAGTACTTTTAAAGTTGATGATCACGGCTCCATCGCTCGACCAACGACCATCTCAATCTCATCGCCTTCTTCTTCTTCGCCAACACCGGACACCCTGCGGCAGTGATCCAAGCTAAGAGAAGGTGCAAAAACGCTCAAAACGCGCAAACCTGCGGGACGTTATCTTGATCCGGCCAACGTCGAGCTTGGCGATGCGAGAGAATGCCTCGATGGAGAGATCAAACGAGTTTGCGTGGCATCCGGGGCACAGGTCGACGACTCTCACCTTGACAGTGGGAGTTCCCGAACAGCCTCCGGAGCCGGACACAGCGCCTTTGCAAGTTATCTCGAAGTAAGCCCCGCACAGCTCTTTGTTTCTAAACAGGTCCTTGCTTGCTGCAGCAATGAGATTTCCCGGCGGGAACTTGCTCGTGTCGAAGCCATAGCAGGACGAGGCTGCAGTGGCTTGTGAGAACACTTTCTGGAAGAAGAAATGGAGATTCACTTACGAACGTATGGGCTGTAGAATGTTGCTTGGCCGCTTTGAGCCACTGCTGGCGCGACTAGCACGGCGACGATGGTCGAGAGCGAGAAGAGGAGAGAATTCATGTTTCGCTGTGTCTATCGTCCTCGATCAAGGCACGGCTTATAGCCTGAGAGGACTTTGGATCGAAGACGATCACGTCTCTTATGTCACTGTGACTTCACATGGTGTTTCTATTGTGGCAAGACGTGACTCGCAAAGAATTATTAAATGGAGGAAAGCTTACACGAAAAATCTCTTTTAGATCGTGTAGTGCGGGTTGACGCCATCGAGGTCTAGACCTTTGAGCTTGATCACAGACTCGATATGAGCTTTGAGCGTGTGAGCTTCCTTGAGCCTGCAAGAAAAGGAAACCATGGTTAGCGAAAGTTGACGTAAAAACCGTGGATAAAACCTGGCCATCTCCGCGCGTTTCTTGGCTTGCTCCGCGATATCCGATAGCTCCCGGTATCCCATTCTATCCATGAAGCTTCCTCCTCTCTCCAGCGTCTTCTGTAGGCCATGACGTGTTCGCTGCGTTTGCGCCCATTGTAGCTCTCGCGCCTCTTTGCCGAAGTCTTTCTGCCTCGTAAACGCAATCTGGAATGGCTCTTTGGTAAGCAAAAGAATTGCAGCTCAATTTCACACGTACCTTGCGCTCCAGGACCAAGTCCCATACGTGACCGAAGAGAAAGTAGCGGATGGCAAACTTGATAATATCGAGTGGAATATAGAAGACAATGCTGAATAGCCATATCACCCCGCACCATTTCCAGCCAATCGGGTGGATTTTAGCGAAACCGAGATGTAAATGAGCAGAGATGATGGTAGCAACCTGCGATTGCATATCAGCACGGGAATAAACAGAACTCGAGAAAGAATTTACCAGCTGAGCAGCGGCGAAAGCCGCTAAGAGCAAAAAACCGGGCCTCTCTACGTATGACCAGCTCCGAGAGCGAGTAACAAAAATAAGCGCCTGGCTGACAATGCTAACTTGAAGGTAAACTGCCGAGTTCAGCTCCGTGGGCTTGCCCGAGATATCTGAGACGCGAAAGACGCGCTGAAACAAAAGCGAGCGATCAGTTGGCACTTTTCTACAAACGGAAACGGATGCATTACTTGGAAAAAATTAGTTTCCTGAACGAGGTAGAAGAACAAAACTGTTATCAATGCCAAATATGTGCCCAGTGTGATCCCGGTTGCAAAAATTTCCTTGAGCTTCCAACTATCTGGGGAAGGAGATGGCTTGACACGATCTTTGGATATAGTCATGATAGTGCCTGCAAGTTGAGGATAAGTAATGCGAATAACAATGCCACTGAGTTTTTACCATCGTTTAGAATGGCAATGATCAAAACCATGAAAGGTGAGAAGTTGAACTTCCAGATTATCGAAAGCAGCGCGAATCCCAGCTACAAGAAAGACAACCTTCAGATTTCACGAACTTGCTAGCATACAAACATGAATGACTTACCACTATACGGATAGTGATTGACACGGCATAGATCTACAGAGTACTTGAACAGTTAGAAACGTAATCGGGAACTACAACAGATTCATACCGTATAGTTTTTCATCCTTTGGAATATTGCTCGACTTGTCAACACAGCGCTGATGATCACACTAAGACCCGGTTCTGTCAAAACAATGTCTGCTGCACTCCTTGCTGCGTCTGTGGAATCTGCAACAGCAATGCCGATATCGGCTTTTTTCAGAGCGGGAGCATCGTTAACTCCATCCCCCGTCATCCCGACAATGTGCCTTTTCTCTTGCAGTCGCTTTACGATGATGTACTTGTGCTCTGGAAAACCATGAGTCAGAGATAAAATGCAAAAACTCTCAGTTACCTGGATAGACCCCAGCAAATCCATCAGCGTTTTCAATCAGTTCATCCATTTCCGGGCCAAGCTCCCCCTTATTTTCTCCTAGCAGCGTTTTAGAGGGATGCATATTGGTCCCCATGCCCAATCGACGACCGGTTTCAATACCAATCGCCAACTGATCGCCTGCGTAACGAGAAAACGAGATGATATGCACGGCGCTGGAAATGCGCGTACCAGTAATCATCTTGACATTGACACCGAGGTTGAGCGCACGGCGGATGGTGTCAGCACTGTCATGACGAGGTGGATCAAAAAGTGGTAGCACGCCGCAAAGTGTCCATGGGCCTCCTGGAGAATCCTTGGATTCCTCAGGGACTTCCTGCGATGCCGCTGGATGACTCAAATCTGAAGCCTTTTTGTTTGACGTACCTGGATAGCCACTGCAAGTGATCGCAGACCGCGCTGAGCAAGTTGCTCAACCACGGTATGGAATCTCTGGGACAATGCTTGTTTGTTGTGTACGAGAGCTAAGATCTGGCAACAAACTGGTTAAAGTGATCACATATTATAAATGGAAGAGTTTACCTGCTCGGGGGCTCCTTTGCTTGCTCGATACCATTTTCCATTCTCTATGTAGGTAATCGCCGTTCGTTTTTCAACAGGATTGAATGGCAAGAAGTGGATCTCTTCGATGTCTTTTCGGGCCTGCATGAAAAATATTAATTAAAAAAGTTGTCTTCTGAGATTAATCTCTGCAATTACCTCCGACGGATCACTGAGCATGCCTACAATTGCAGCATCAATAGCATCTTGACATTCTAATCTGGATGCTCTTGCTGCAAGCTTCACAACCGTGTCTTGGTCCATGTCCTTTGGAAACACCTGATATAAAATGTTTGAGATGACATCTTCTGTCTAAACATACTGTAGCCTACCTCAACAAGACTCTTGTCGACAGTAAGCTTGTTCAAAGTAAGAGTGCCCGTTTTATCACTGCAAAGGACGTCCATACCAGCCATTTCCTCTATAGCTGTCATGCGTTTTGTTATAGCTCCCTGAAAACATGCGAAACTGAATGATAAAAGCCATTCCAAAAGAGTCTTGCCTGCTGGGATAATCTGTGCGAGCCAATAGCCATGGTTACCGAAAGAACCGTCGGCATGGCAATTGGTATTCCACCAATGAGAAGAACCAGTAAATTCTCCATGCCCTGACGATAAGTCTGGTGATGAGCCGCCCACATGACGATTCCCTCCACAAATATTCCCACAGCAATAGAGCAAATGCAGAAGTTTCCAATGGACGTCAGGACCTGCGTTTTCGAAACATTATAGCTTATAGTTTATGCTGTCGAAATCAATCAAGTCCTACCTTTTGAAAGTGTCCCACATTGTTTGTGCTGTCAACAAGGTGAGCCGCTTTACCCAGGAAGCTGTGAACGCCGGTGGAGATGACAACAGCGTTCATCTCTCCTACTTTGCAAGTTGATCCTGAAAGTACTTCATCTCCAGGCCTTTTCGTCACAGGCAAAGACTCGCCAGTTAAAGCAGACTAATCACAGTGAAACAAATCGTCAGGGGATAATCGCAACTTTCACGTAAGCGACCAAACCTGATCAATCTTCAAGGAGTCTCCTTCGAGCAGGCGAGCATCTGCAGGGATGATGTCTCCAAGCTTTATGGCTATGATGTCACCAGGAGTTAAGAACTTCGCTTCCATTTCTTTCCATTTCCCGTCCCTTAGAGCCTGCGCATGCACGAGTGACAATCCTTGGAACAAAACAAGTCGCTAGCAGACCTTGCACTGAGGAGCCAACCGTGCCATCAAAGCAGCCGCAGCGTTTCCGGCATTGTTTTCTTCGAAGAAACTTATTGTGGAGTTCACCAAAAGAAGAATAATTATCCCAATGAAGTCTGGATAATCGGGGGGATCTCCCTGCGCACAAACGCGTCAGCCCCATGAAACAAAGAGCAAACTTCCTACACTGCCGTCATTGAGCATGACAATAGCTATGATCGCTGCAGCTTCCATCACCCATGACAAAGGATTCCACATAAACCCGAGGAACTTGAGAAACTTGTTTTCCTGGATTCCAAACCACACACTATATCATTTCAAGCAACTTTGTTTATTGTCGAAAAAGAGCATGATTATCATACCTTCGTCTCCTCTAACTTGTTATACCCGAAAATCTTGAGCCGCTCTTCGGCCTCCTCCTCCGTGAGGCCATTCTCGGTGCACCGCAGCTGCTCGAAAACCTCCTCAACTGGAGCCCCTTTCTGGAAATCCAGCGTTAGATTCTGCGAGAAAAGGCACCAAAACCTCCTACAAGATGGTGGGTGTCGATGGCCAGGCCATTCCCGGCTCCAGCGCCTTCCATTTCTCCTTGGCGATTTCGCTCGATCGCAAGCCTGCCAAGCTTGGAATGAAAGAAAACCTCGCAAGAACTGGAAGATCAAGAGCTACCAGCTGGAGCCTAGCGGCTAAACCTTGTCCTGGCTCACGATCGACGGAGATCGCGACGCTCACGGCTCCGGCTCACCGCAAAACCCTAGAACCTGGGAAAAGGACAAGGTTTACGCGCCATAAACCGCATATTCCTTGGCACGAAAATTTCGAAGAGGCAAAAATACTAGAGGTCGAGGTTTCGAAACGCGGGAACGTTTTCTAAGCACTAGGGTTTTTGGCCTTTGGGCAATGGGCGATATCAGGAGCGCGCTCCAGGTCGCCGCGGGGATTGGCGATCAGAAGCAGAAGGTCGATCAGTACAAGGCGATTCTCTCCACGATAATCGCGACGAATCATGTGGAGCACGCCATGGCCTTCGTCAATCACAGTGAGTTTTTTTTGTGTGGAAGAATTCGGGAAGATATTGAGCTCGCATTTGCTGCCGCAGTGGTCTCCGACGAGGTTCCGCTGGTAATCTCGCGCCAGGTGCTGCAAACTTTCGCGCAGGATCTTGGGAAGCTGGAAGCCGAGGCGCACAAGCAAATTGCGCAGTACGCTCTCGCGCAGATTCAACCCCGCGTTGTTTCTTTCGAAGAACAGGTTGGAGTCTTTCTTCTTTGCCCTTGAAAGTTTTTCTGTCCTATGTATCAAGTTTTTCTGTGCTGTATCTAGGTGTGCCTCATTCGAGAAAGGCTAGCGGAGCTCTATGAGATCGAAGAAGAATGGACGAAATCGGCACAAATGCTTAGCGGCATTGACTTGGACACTGGAATCCGGTTTGTATCTTGTTTGATCTTGTGCTTCTTTTCTTGAGGAGATCGGGTTTAAGGTGATTGACTTTCAGTGCCGGGGACGAAAGCTACAAGCTAACAAAATGCGTGAAAATTGCTCTGCTGTACTTGGAGGTACGAGAACTATAGTTTGCACTGTGTTTTCATCCGTTTGTCCAGGATGATGATGCGACAAATGCCGAGGTGTACATAAAGAAAGCCTCTTTCATGGTGAATGGCTGCAAGGATGAAGCTGTTATTCTACAGTACAAGGTTATTTCCTTCGCTGTTTTCTTGGCATATGAGCTGACCTCCGTCCTTTATAATTATTTAGGTGTGCTATGCGCGTATTCTTGATTCAAAAAGGAAGTTCCTAGAGGCCGCACTAAGATACTACGAAATGTCGCAACTTGAAAAGAGAGAAATTGGGGGCCGGTAAGTTTTTGATTTGTATATTCTACATTGTGTGTATTTGATATTTTGGACAGCATTGTCGATGAAGAGGAACTCCAGCAAGCTCTCACAGCAGCGGTGACGTGTACTATCTTGGCTGCTGCAGGCCCTCAGAGGTCGAGAGTTCTCGCAACGCTTTACAAGGTATGCGAGGCGCTTTCCTTTTTCTTCTCGAAACTGTAAATCCATTTGTGTTTATTAGGATGAAAGGTGTTCGAAGCTAAAGATCTATCCGATTTTGCAAAAGGTATCGTAATACTCTTGTCTTGTCGTGGTTCTGATGGAAACGTCATATCTGTGTCAGGTTTACCTGGAAAGAATTCTTAGAAAACCCGAAGTCGACGCGTTTGCGGAAGAGCTCAAGCCACATCAGGTAGGTGTTCGTGTTAAAAAAAAGACGAGTGCGAGTGTTTTCCTTTTTATGCTGCAGAAAGCTTTGCTTCCAGACAGTTCGACGGTTTTGGATCGCGCTATGATTGAACATAATCTTTTAAGCGCAAGCAAGCTGTACACAAACATCAGGTAAACATGCTGTTTTCACTGAGGGCACTGATTGAAAGGTGTTTCCAGTTTCGAGGAGCTGGGAGCATTGCTAGGCATTGCCCCTGACAAGGTAACCAGGTCTTCTTTTGTCGCTCCTAGTGTTTGAGGTATTCGTGCAGGCTGAAAAGATTGCGGCGAGAATGATCTCGGAAGATCGTATGCGCGGATCCATTGACCAGGTTCATGTCAAGCAAACTCCTACTTTGTTTTTTTAACTCTTGTCCGATTCTAAAGGTGGAGGCTGTGATCCATTTCGACAACGACATTGAGGAGCTGCAGCAATGGGATCAACAGGTAAGCCTCTTTCCATTTACAAAACGCATAAGCTCAAGGAACTGTTATTGCAGATCGTGAGCGTTTGCCAGTCGCTCAACGACGTTCTCGACAGCATGATGAAGAAAGGAATACCCGTGGCTGTATGATCTTAGTCGTCGGAACCGAGTAGAAATTCCTCGCACTCTCTAAGCTGCATCAGGTCGATTTCTCCACTCTTTTTTGGTTTGCTTAAGCAAACCCTGTGGATGGTAATGAATATATCTAGAATATACTTAAATATTTTAGGATATTCTACCATTTAAGGGTTGTTATTTGTATTTATAATTTATAAATATGTTTATGATTTATAAATTTTCTTAAACCCTTTCTAATATATTCTTTTTAATTCTATAATCTAATGGTTGATATGCAATAAGATTAATCTTATAAACATGCTTATAATTATAAATTAATAAACTAATTTATTTGAACGACAATCTTCCGTTTTAAAACTTAAAAGGAGCACAACATCCGGACGAATGCTTTTACCCTTATTCCATCGATGGATTATTTCTCGCTAGGGCAAAATAGTGCCCCCAAGGCCAGAAGGTATGCGGCTCCTCCTTCCCATCCATTTCCTCCTCCTCCTCCTCCTCCTCTCTCGCTGCCCAACGATGCCACACAAGGGAAGAAGAAGAAGCCCGGCGCTAGAACATGGATGAGATTCGACTCCCGTGGCGTATGCGAGCTCCTGGAATGCGATCGCCAGACGATCATGAGCCGCGCGGACATCCCAGCTCGTGATCTTCGGATCCTCGGCCCGGTTTTCTCGCATTCTTCCAACATTCTAGGTGAGCATCACTGGAGTACTTCTCTCTTTTGTTTTGATGCATCGCTTTTCCAGCTCGCGAGAAGGCCATGGTGATCAACCTGGAGTTCATCAAGGCGGTGATCACAGCCGAGGAGGTTTTCATTCTGGATCCCCGGAATTCTCTGGTGGCTCCATTCGTGGACCAACTCACGCAGCAGCTGGCTCTGGATCAGGGAGCTGGATCTTCTGGCGACACGGTAGCAGCAGGAGCAGCAGCAGGGACGATGATCGATCCGCGAGGGCCTCTCTGGATGAGAGTGGAGGAAGAGTCTGGCGATGCGCTGCCGTTCGAGTTCCAGGTTTTGGAGAGCGCCCTCGAGTTTGTGTGTAGCTACCTGGACGCAAAGGTGACGGATCTTGAGCACATTGCCTATCCTGCTTTGGACGAGCTCACTAGAAATGTCAGCACAGGTAACCTCGAGCACGTCCGCAGCCTCAAGAGCACTCTCACTCACATCACTGCTCGAGTGCAAAAGGCAAGCAATCGCAAAGACAAAGATTTCTCTTCGACTAACAAGCTTACTCGCTCGTTTCACAGGTTCGTGATGAAGTCGAGCACTTGCTCGACGACGACGAAGACATGGCCGACATGTATCTCTCGCGCAAGATGGCTTTGCAGCAGCAGCTGGAAGCGTTGCCTCTGGACGATGAGGCCAGCAGCTTGATCATGCCCCACCCGAGCACTCGGACTGCGACCAGCGTCGCGCTGGGGACTCTGGCGGATGGCAACGACGTCGAAGATCTGGAGATGCTGCTCGAGACGTGCTTCTTGCAGATCGATGGAACTCGCAACAGACTCGTCACTGTAAGTTGCAAGGATCGTTTTCTTTCTTCTTTCTCTTATGCCTCTCTTTGCAGCTCCGGGAGTATATCGATGACACTGAAGACTATATCAACATCCAGCTCGACAACCACAGGAACGAGATGATCCAACTCCAGCTCGTTTTGATCATTGGCGGCTTCGTGATCAGCCTAGCAACGGCAGTGGCTGGAGTTTTCGGGATGAACATACCATATGGGATCAATGACGAGAGCGCCTTCTTCATGACAACCGCAGGGACTCTCGCCGCGAGCACCATCATCTTCTTTCTCGTCTATGGCTACGCCAGATGGAAAGAGCTGCTCGCCTAAGAAGAATGAAACCAAACTACAGCGCTACGTTTGGATTTTCTTGCGCGAAAAAAGAGACCTCGTTCTTTCAGGACAAGATCCAGCAAGACTATCCACCTTATTTTCTCAATGATGTAAGCTAAAGGAAGAAGGATCTCACATAGAAGCCAGTTGCTGGATGTTGGTGGGATAGATGCTGGTAGTGGATCCATTCCAGAGGAAATCAGCAAGGATGTTGTAAACTTTAGCAGTGGGATCGATTTGATCCCAATAAGCATAGTGCTTTGGATCAGAGCAAGAGGGAAGATTGTAAGCGCAAAAGGATGGAGGATAGTTTGTGTTGTTCCGATAATTCGGGGAGCAACGAGCAGCGTACTCCTGGGTTAGACAAGATGAAAGTATTTGTACTCTAGAAACGAGAACTTTACCGTATGATGTTGGGTTGTGGACAATATCAGGTGATTGTGTATTCAATAACACCATTGTGTTAGAGTGCTCGATTGGGGCTCTTAGGGCACTGAGCAAATTCTAGATTAAATGTCTACCTTAGAATCGAGAATGCTAATGGCACACCAAGAACAAGGGTTTGATCTAGTGGAGTAGAATCTCACAGCAACAGCAGGCATTAGATGAAATTATCAATAGATTGATAAGTGTGATCTTGCTTGTGTTTGACGTAATCTTTGAAAATCCTTTTGTTTTCCTTGTAGTGCAATAACCTAATATTTATCTAATATTTTAAACAAGTAAGAGAATTAGGATTGATGATGTATTTTCTTCTAAAATATGTTCACTCATAAGATTACTGCATTCTTTTTTATTTAGAGACTCTTTGATAAGATGTTCGTAGTAATAATTATATTCAGAACACTGAAGCAAAGATAAATTTCCCTCCCTATGCTCAAAAATTACAAATGGATTTGTGCTACCATATTTAATAGTGTTTGGGCAAACTAAAAGCTTTATTTAATTTTCAAAAACCTTCTCGTCTTAATGCTTATCACCCAAAAAAAGGCTTATTAGAAGGTGTAAATTATGTTAGATTATACGATTTCACTAGATATGAGTACATCAGATTCATTTTCTTGGGTTTGATTAATCAGCCACCAGATCCAACCACAAGATACCCTCAAACCATGCCTTTACAACTCCAATATTTTATAAATAACAAGAGTAATCTCTCAAATTGGTGCCATCAACAATGCATTCTTCTACATATAGTTTGAGATATTATCACTTATTTTGCCCTATTTTCACTAGTCAGTACTCCTTGTGTTTGAGTTCTATTATAGACAACATTAATGTACCAGTTTATTATACTAAGGTCATATCTATTTGCACTTCTGACATAAGTAATCCAAGACTAAACATCCAGTTTGTGAGTGGTTATCCTATAACCACTTTTTCTATAGCAGGCCCCAAGGTATGAGGAGCATTAACAGTGAAAGAAGCTAAATTATATTTGGATTTGACTGTCATAAATTTGCATTAACAAGTTCATGTATTAGGAGATTGTATACTACTATTGGGTTTGGTGCAATTGACCTGATCTCTTCTGACATTGTTTGGATAAAATTGTATTGATCCAAACTCAAAGGCTACCAAAAAAGTGGCCAATACAAATGTCAATCCATAATTATTCATTACAATACCTCGTCCAATTTGATAAGGTCTAAGTGTATGGCTATGGTGTTTTTGATAAAATTGGTGTCAATCTAGGGTTTTTGAAGTTATATTTTTTATTTAAATTTAACTTTTGTATTGTTTAAATCTCTTTTGTTCCTATAATTTTTTCATATCTTCTTTTTTGGGTTTTTATCTTCTTTTAGTTCATCTTTATGGCAAAACACCCTCCTTTAACTTTGGAGTAACAATTGATGCAATTTTTGATATTATATTGTTACAATTAAATAATCAAACTCAATTGATAGTCATGGTGTAACTCTTCTTACTTTTAGCGGCAATCTTTGTGAAAATTTTAGGAATGATATGTATTATTGGTTCAATCATTTTAAAATGATTGCCACATATCATTCTTAATATGATGCTTGATATTTGTACAAGTTTTCAACATCTTTAAGGGATGGTATTACAATAATACAATGATTTAAGTGCAATGATTTATGTGGATTAAAGCTTTGTTTTAGATGTTTTTAAGTGCATATTTGGAGATGTTAACAATTGTAACAATGCTTTCCAACAATTGCACTGTTTCTATTAGAGGCTATGCAATTTAAAGCTTAATACTATCATTTATTTGTGACTATCTTGGATATATATTCTTTTCATCACACTACCAATCTTCTAGATAATTTAGGAAGAAGTTATTCGTTTACCAAGTTGGATATTATGAGTTTTTGTGATGCTATTCAGTTTAAACAATATTTTAGTGACTTTTCAGCAGATGATGGATGAGCTTCGTTGAAATATGTTAAAGGTAATTGTTGACTTCATAGATAATCCATTTAAAAAGGTCATAGGAAGATCACATCCATATTTACAAAGTGTTGGATCAACAGTAAGAAGTTCTTTTAAAGTGAAGTAGTTAAAGTGTGTATTACTCTTAAGTGTGTAAATAATATGTAATGCTTCATTGACAAAATGTAATACCTTAATCATTTTATTGATCGTTTTTTTAATTATACTACACCATTACGAGTATTGATGAAGTTCTAAATATCATTTTTTATATGGTCTAAAGGTTACAAATGGGCATTTATGGATCTCAAGAGGTGTTTATAACTCTTCCAATTTTGGCAAATCCTAACTATACTTAATATTTCATTTGTGCATTGATGTTTTTAATATTGATATCAAAGAAGTGTTGATGTAAGAAAGTATGAGTGTGTTTAGTTAATATCAACCCATTATATATATCAACTATATATTATAATTAATAGAGGTGAACTACTTTACAATAAAGGAGTGTTTAGTAGGGTTTAAAAAGTTTAATATGTACTTGCATAGTTCTTAAACATTGTTAGAAGGTAATCATGTTATAGTCACTTCATTATTAAACTGGAAGAACTTAATTAAATATATTATTTGGTGAGCTTCAAAGCTTTAAATTTATAACTTGAACATTATTCATCACCCAATAAGTTCTATGATTGATCTTGATGCTTTTTTTCAACCTCCTCTCCTTTCTTCACTCTCTTCTTATGTTCTTAACAAGCTTATTATTCTGGTTATTAAATTTTTTAAATAAGGATTTTGTGTTGTTAGCAATTATAGTACTAAATATGTAATGTCCATAAGGTGCAAAGCTAGATTTATTGCCTTGATGAGGTTTGAAAGACGCAAAGGTTAAATCATGGATTTGAAAATCTTAAGATTGATTTGAGAATCTTGTATTACTTACTGATGACTTGCTATTTTAACACTTACATTCATAATATTACTTTGAGTACAACTTCGTTTATGTTATAAAGACTAATCCTAATGATTATTTGTAGTAGATGGTGCCTTCAATTTTTATTTCATACTTTTTTTATACTTACCATGACTCTCCTATCCTATAAGGGCATATGCAACATTATTGTGTGATTAAGAAGTTATATAAATCTTTTTCTTTTTACTAAAGATGTGATGTGATATTATCCAATATGTATATAGTTGTGTTTAGTGTTACGCTTGTATACTCCTCATGATGATTAGTTTCAGTTGTAATTTTTTGTCTATTTGAATTAGTGGCATTTGATTTAATGAGACTTTTTCCATAATAGATTGTTAGCAATGAAGATATCATTATTGCTTCTAACTCTCTGACTTATAATGCTTTTATTAATATGTTTATAACTATTATTAGATAATCAAGTGGTGTCAAGAGCAAATTCTCTCAAATACTTATAAGTAAACATTTGTTTTCCTATAGTTACATCTATGCAAAATAAATATTTTCTAGCTAGCAAGTTCACAAGTGCATCCAAGAATGATGTATTTTATGTTTTGACATCTTAGTTGGGGATATATCACACTTTCATGAGTGTTTATCATCCATAAACAGATGATTTGATAGAATAATTTATTTGGATATTCAAAGGGATGATTGCAAAGTTCATGAACTTTTAACATTCAAATTGGGATAATTATTTGTTATATTTTTAGTATATATATGTTACAAAGGTATAGAGTTTATTGAGCACTTAACCCATATACAAATGGGATAATAATAGTACCACAATTCTTATCACCATCCAACTATAAAATATAAAGTAGATGATTTAATGTTGATTTATTTTCTCAATCCTATAGTGTATGATTTATCTAAAAGGCTCCTTACTCAATGGAAAGGATTGTATTGGGTGTTGCAACAAGTTGGACCATAGTTTAGTATGACATTCAATAGGCTAAAAGAAATATATATAGTAGTTAAAATACTTTATACAAAATGATCAAAAACAAGTTGTAACACCTACAAATCCAGGAATGCCCTCCTGATGGTTTGAACTATGCTATATATTATTATTAGTATAATAGGATTTTTATAGCTATTAAATTGTTTTCATACCTTTAATATTGTTTTTAATGTATATAATTTTTTCTAGAGAATATAATTATATTATATAATTTCTCTATAAATATGAGTCTGAGAAAAAACATTCCACTAAAGTTTTGTCTAAAGAACTATTCTTTTCATATGGTGCCACTTGATCTCTTCCTGTGTAAGGGCTGCAACATAAGTAAGTATATAAGTAGGTAAGTCTTTGGGGATGTTAGAGTGACAATGTGGGGATCTAAACATAAAGTCTTTGCTATTCATGTACCTGTGGCTTAACATAAAGGTAAACCTACAGCACTTGTGCTTTCTCTTCTGCACACAACCATAGCCACTTGTGGCTGAGAACAAACCTTAAAATATATAAACCTTTATTGAAAATATCCTTAAATATGCTTGGATGTTTTAGATTTAGCCAGATATGCAGGTACCATCAGGAAAATGAGAGAAATGAGCACTTCAACTGCAAGATCAAGAGAGCATTTTGCAAGTACACAGTAGATCGAGATCAAGAACAACTTGCAATGAGGCACTGCTCCACCAGATTAAACACCAGAAAAGAGAAAAAAAAATTATCTCAGTATGTACTTTTTGATCCTCACGCCTTTCAAGATCATGTCTTGAAACAGGCCAAGCAATTTGCAGCTCGCAGCTGTGGTGATCATGGCAGTCACGTGGCACCCTCTGAGCAAATGAACTTGGCCATTGGAAACAGTGATGCAGATCAGCACATCACATTTTTCTCTGGAGCAGAATTAAATGCTGCTTTCTCCTCTTGGTGCAGATGCCCTTTCTGGGCATTTTCTGCTAGCATGGCAGGATCGTGTCCCTTTTGTGCAAAGGAACTTTGCTATAGACTTCTGGTCTTGATTAATATTCCCTAGTTTTGTGATCCATGTGATGAGCATACAAAAGGTAAACACATGTGTCCTAACTTGAAATCAGTCCAGAGTCATTAACAACGATTTGGATCATAGCATCGAAATGCCCTTCCTTTCAAAACACTCAAGGGCATCTTCCAAATGCCCAGTCGTGGCAAATGCTGCAGCCATGTCATTCCCTTATCTACTGGAATATTGAAAATGCATGATCAACATCTCCAATGCGACCATCAGTTGTAGTCCACAATGCGATATTTGGGCACGGCATGGCTTCAAATATCACTTCTGTGAGAGATGATAAATTCCATGAAGTTTAACTTCAATTTTGGATCGTCCAACCGAAAACAAATTCGCCATCTTTTTCCTTTCTTTTGCATTTTCCATTATCTGTTTTTTTTTCTAGTCTTTTGGATCGAAGAAGACTCGTCAAAGCGAGAATCAGCAGGCAGTGTTGTAACCCACAACAGTGGAGCAAATAAAGAGTGACGAGGACCCTCGGCGGTCAACCGTCAGAGGAACTGCGATTTACTTTGGAAACTTTTTTAAACTCATCTTTCTAGTTGCAAGAGCATTGTTCTAGAACGAACACAACAGACATTGTTGCGGAGGCCAAGCAGCAGCATGCAGTTGCAGAAACTTGAAAATGCGAAGTGCCATAGCTGGGCATCGAGTAATCACGCCCGTTGGATTCCAAATCCAACACTTGCATTGCATGCACCGCTGCTAAGTACGAACATCACAAGAACATATCATAAACACTCTGATATGTTATTAAGAGAGTAACAGGAGCACAATTATCACTTCATTTCAAGTCCCTTATTCACGAGTATGTAAACTTGGACTGCAGCTGTGCTCCTTTTCCCTGACAGCAGCAACAAGTCATAAAAATGGAAAACTTATCCAAAGATTATAACCTTTGAACGTTGAAGCTCAAGGGCAGCACTGAGGGAGGAGTCGTTTCACCAAGGGGATGCGGCAAGCGCAAGTGGGCAAGCGACTGCAGCACTCGGCGATTTTGGTTGGATCGCCCAAAGCGTTGTTGATGCAAGTCACAATGTCCTGGAGATTGGGTAGGGAGCACTGCGCGCGAGCAAGCGTTGCAACCATGGCGAGCACCAGGAGCATGAGCAGCACAGACTTTGCAAAAGCCATGGATGGGATTCGAGAGAAAGATGGACGCAACAAAGATGAAGATATAAGAGAAGATGATGGCTTGGCTTGCTGGTTTGGATGTGGATGGAGGCTTGCCGCTTATATACACCCCCGCAAATGAAATAAAACTCTCTCGTCTGTGATGTCACAGAGGGGGCCAAAGATCTTCGTTCCCGGGTCAGCGTTTGTGTAAGTAACGCTTCCCCGCGTCTTACAAAACGGGCTTGGTTTTTGTTTGGCATCGCGATCAATTTCAATGCTTGCATTCACGTGTTTGCTTTGCCAACTCGACGTCGAATGTGATCGGTGGTGCAAACGTGCAAAGATCCAGGAAGAATTTCCATGGATGCTGTCGAGCTTGTGAGGTCGTGCTCGAGCCTGGCCGCGGCAAGGGACTTGCACGATCGGATTCGCACGTCTCGCAGCCGCACGGACACTTATGTTCTCCGGAAGCTCGTCGAATTGTACGGGAAGCTCGGGGCGCTGAAAGATGCCGAGGATGTCTTTGACACCATCCAGCCCAAGGATTCTTTCTCGTGTAACTACATGATCTCGGCATATGCCCGAAACGGGAATCTTTACAAGGCGAGGATGCTGTTTGAGGAGATGCCGAAGAGGACGCTAGTGTCGTGGAGTGTGGTATTAACGGCATATTCGCGGGCAGGGAAACTTGAAGATGCTAAGATTTTGTTCGAAACGATGCCACATTGGGATGTTATCTGCTGGACAGCTTTGCTGGAGGGATATGCCCGAACAGGGCATCTGGAGGACGCCGAGAGGATTTTCGACGAGATGCCGGAGAGAGATTCCGTGTGCTGGACGTCCATGCTTGGGGCATATGCCGAGAAGGGGCATTTACAAAAGTCTAAGAGAATGTTTGACAGCATGCCCTCTAGAGATCTCGTTGCATGGACTTGTATGCTCTCTGTATATGCTCAAGCGGGAAAAGCTGACACGGCTGGTGAAATCTTTGAGAGGATGCCCGAGTGGAACCTTGTTTCGTGGACGTTGATGCTTTGGGCATATGCTCGGTCTGGGAATCTCCAAAAGGCAATGCAAACGTTTGACAACATGCCCGAAGCGAACTTGGTCTCTTGGAATTGCATTATCAACGCGTGTGCCGAAAGCAAGGATGTTAACAGCGCGAAGGCTCTTTTTGATAGCATGCCCGTGTGGGATCTCGTCACGCTCACCTCCATGCTAACTGCATATGCTCATAGTGGGCATTATAAAGATGCCATGAATCTTTTTCAAAACATGCCAGAGAAAGATCTCATATCCTGGAACACAGCCTTAGCAGCCTGCGTTGAGAACAATCAACTCGAAGAGGCGAAGTTCCTGTTTGACACAATGCCACAGTTGGACATAACTTCCTGGACTGTGGTGCTTTCGGCATATTCCTTAGCTGGGCATCTGCAAAATGCCAAGTTAATGTTCGATGCCATGCCAGTCCAGGACCTTGTCTCGTGGAACTGTCTCCTGAGCGGATATGCCGAGGGTGGTCACGTGTCACATGCGGAGAGGCTGTTCAGCCGGATCCCATGCCGCGACCTGGTAACGTGGACTGCCATGCTTGGTGCTTATTGTAGGAATTGGCGTCCCAAGAAAGTTTTGTATGTTTTTTCGCTGATGCAAATGTTTGATTTTCCAGATCAGGTGTGTTTTGCATCAGTGTTGAGCTCTTGCAGCCATTTAGGTAGAGTTTATGATGGAAGATCATATTTTGTCTCCATGGGTTTTGATTTCGGAGTGAAGGCGACAAAGCAGCATTATTGTTGCATGGTTGACTTGCTCTGTAGGACGGGATACTTGGAAGATGCTAAGAATCTGCTTGTGAACATGCCATTTACAGCCAGTGTTGTTGACTGGACAAGCTTGCTTGGGGCTTCTAAGACGGCAAGAAATTTGGAGCACGGAGCTAGGGCGGCTAAACAAGCTGTTGAGTGTGATCCTCAAGAGAGTGTGCCTTATGTGTTGCTTGGAAACATAATTGAAAGTCCTAGTCTTTGAATTTTATAGCTTTATTTATTGCTTTTAGGAATATTACCTTTTCTTGAGTATTTTTAATTTATTTCTAAGTTCCATTTTTAGATATTTTAGCACTATAGTCAACCTGTCAATAGAGTGCTCTTCAGCTCCAAACTCTTCGTTCGACTTGAAACATCAATCTGCCAATGATCCCGTTGAATGAGAACCTCCAGCTCTTCAAACCTGATCCATCTCTCCTGGGTAAGAGTATGTGTGATATGTGGTTCCATCCTCTTGCAGCAGCACAGCACAGGAATCCCCAATGCTTGCAACAACCTTGGTGGTGGTGATCGAACCCACCATTGCTGTTATTCCAGTTGTCCTTGCTTATTAGGAAGTTGTAGTCTAACTGCTGCAAGCTCTTTGCTCCCCACTGGAAATTGTTCTCTTTGACAAAGATGACAACCAGAGTCACCACTGTGTCCATCGTTAGTGTCACAGCACTGCTACCAATGATACTCTCCATAGAACATGTATCTTTCATTGTCTCTCGTAGAACTCTCTCCATGAAGCCAATGTCCTTCCATAAACCACATTATGTAATTGCACCTTTTATTATTTGATTAAGTTTTTCATAAAAAATAATTGTTTGGAAAGTTTTGTACTATATTTAAATGACAGTAAGTATTGCCCTTTAAAATTCATTATCATCATATTCTACACAAATATTACATTCTTAACCTATTTAAAAGGTCTTAAAAGTTTTTATATATTTTTGTTATTTTATAATATAAATTTATCATAAATTTCTCTAATTAATAATGTATTTGTGAATAGTATAATACTCAAAATCCATTAACCACCTATCTATCAAATGCTGAGTTTTTATGTAAAATATTTCTTAATATAGGTTGAGTTTTGATTGTAATTTAACACTTGGAGGATTTTTTATATATAGAATTATAAATAATTTTTAATAATATTTTTAATTAACTTAAATTCAATAAACATTGTAAGGTTTGTAAATATATGTACATATTATATGCTTAGGTAATATTCTAATTATAGTACTTGAACCATTCATTTAGAACTATCCATTCATGTATATTAACAGGGGTTAAACTTCAATTAATATACCTATTCCTATATCCCAAACACTCACATTGGTGGAGGTGAGGGGCATTATAATTTGTCCCTAGAGGGCAAAACTTTTTAACAATGCTTTACTTTAGTGTTTAGGATTGTGCTTTTATTTTTATTCTTTTCTTTTTCTTTTAAATCTAGATTTATATTAATTTTTTCCAAGATCTAGAATTCTAATTATTTTTGTGCTTAGATTTTCTCTTCTTTTTGATTTTCATTGCATTCTTTTCTTTTGCACCATCATCAATCAAAAAGTATATCACTTAAAGATGTTAAAATTACTTTGTTGAATTGAGTTTTTAGTATTATTGGTCATGATTGCATAGTGATATACCCATCTTTACCTTCCATGGGATGTGATTACACAGATTTTATAATTCTCAATATCCCACTATTTCCTACTGATATAGAGTGTGATCATGACAACAATTGAAAAGGTATGCATAATGCAGTGTGGTTCTTGAAGAATGCTTGGAGATTAAATTTATGAGAAAACAATGTTTATGAGCTAAAGTGAATTTTAGATTGTGATAAAGAGCTTAATTATAATGGAAATAGCTTTAGAGATCAATTGAAGATTTTGCAAGGTAATTGTTAATTTTTCAATATGCAATCTAATTCTTTTTCTTTGCTTTTTACTTTTTCCTAACTTTTTTTAATTTTCTCTACCTAAGCCATCTTTTTAAGTTTTTAATATTTCTTTCTCCTATGCAGTATTTCCTTCTTCTAACACATTGATCATTTAAAACTCTTATAATTCTTATTCTTAGTACAGTGTTGAGTTGAGTATTTTTTGTACTCCTTATTTTATTTAAATATTGAGCATATCTGTGAAGTTGAGAATTTTATTTTTGTTTTATTAGCAGAGTCTTTGATCATTTCTAGTGTTTAATATTCCTCCTATTCCAAGAATTGAGTCACTTTTGCCATAGTTTCAAATTGGGTACATATTTTCAGTTGTAAGTACCACTAAGAGTCTTTAATTTACTATTAGTATTAAGGAGTTTATGTGTTCCTTTGAGAGTGGGAATATTTTTATTGATTTTCCTATATCAAGTGTTGAGTTATATATTGAGGAGGTTGAGCAATGTGAATTTTGTGTTTATATTGAGGTGCTTTAAGCATTTTATGACAGAAAGTCTCCTCTTTGAGCACATATCATTATTTTTATTTCCCCATTTTCACTTTAATAAGTATTGAATTTTTTTTTTCAATGCCTCTTTATCCACTTTTACTTTTCCATAATGTTTATTCTTCACTTTTTCTTCTTTGTCTTGATACTTCAAATATATTTTTCTTTTTCAAAGGGGGTAGAGGGGACAAATGTGAGTTTGACCCTAATGATAGATTGAGGATAAGTGAATATGATAGTGGAGTAAGGACGAATAATATGGATTATGAAGTGAAGACAAATATGATGAGTCTAAATGAAACATTTTACCCCAATGTAATGAGGCCAAAGGGATGTGATAGTGAAGTGAGGTTAAATATAAATAGTAGAGTAAGGATAAGCACAACAAATTTGAACGAAACTAATATTTTAAAACTTTTATTTTCTTTTGAGGAAGGGATGTAGAAGAAAAATAGAGTGAGTTTGACTTCCTATGTGTGCTGCTAGACAAAGACAAAAATCACAAATCCAAGTTAATATTAGGTTTTACTTATAGTCATTAATCTAAGTTAATGATTGTCGTAAAGGATTATTAATGGATATAATTAAAAATATGATGTATCATTTTTTATAATGGTGTTTTATGGACTATAGTGGTGTAAGCTTCTGAATTTAGACTTCCCGAAAGATCACCTAACCCAGTACTATTCAAACCCAAAGATATTTAACCCCAAATATCCCAAAACCCTTAACCGTTTGGAAAAAAGGGTGTACTCTTGTTCATAGACCCTTTCCCTCGAATTTCCAACAACCATCTGCCAAGTTTGAGGCAATTATCATGTTCCAAGACGACATACTCCACTCAGGAAGCTTGTCAAATAGCTTCTTTGCTTGCTAGAAATACTCATTTTGAGCGTAGGCTGCCACTATAGCTTTCAAGGAGACGATGTCTTCTCAGACTTTGCAGTGGTATGGACGTCCCTACGGAAGATTGATCCACAACACTGTAAGCAATCAAAGGGAACGACGCGAGAGACGGTCCATAAGGGTTCAAATACAGAGGGAAAGGGCCCATGAATAAAAATGCACCCCCTTTTCCAATCGGTTAAGGGTCTTGGGATATTTGGGGTTAAGCATCCTTGAGTGTGAATAGTATTGGGCTGGGTGACCTCCCGGGAAATCCAAACTCAGGAACTTACATTTGGTATTAAAGGGGTCTCGAGTCCGACTCTGTTGGTTGGCTAGGGGAATCACACCACATGAACTTACATTTGGTATCAGAGGGGTTTCGAGTCCGACTCTGTTGGTTGGCTAGGGGAATCACACCACATGAACTTACATTTGGTATCAGAGGGGTCTCGAGTCTGACTCTGTTGGTTGACTAGGGGAATCACACCACATGTTGATTGACATCTGGCTAGTCCAGTTTGCTCCCACTGGGCTCGACCCGAGAGGTAGGGTGTCAAGAGAGTGGGGCTCTCGGGAGAGCTGCGGCTCTCAGCTTCCGTTCAAAAGGGCGTGAACTTGCAGGGAAGCGTGGTGGATTGTAAGTAAGGGGACGACGCGAGAGACGGTCCATAAGGGTTCAAATACAGAGGGAAAGGGCCCATGAATAAAAATGCACCCCCTTTTCCAATCGGTTAAGGGTCTTGGGATATTTGGGGTTAAGCATCCTTGAGTGTGAATAGTATTGGGCTGGGTGACCTCCCGGGAAATCCAAACTCAGGAACTTACATTTGGTATTAAAGGGGTCTCGAGTCCGACTCTGTTGGTTGGCTAGGGGAATCACACCACATGAACTTACATTTGGTATCAGAGGGGTTTCGAGTCCGACTCTGTTGGTTGGCTAGGGGAATCACACCACATGAACTTACATTTGGTATCAGAGGGGTCTCGAGTCTGACTCTGTTGGTTGACTAGGGGAATCACACCACATGTTGATTGACATCTGGCTAGTCCAGTTTGCTCCCACTGGGCTCGACCCGAGAGGTAGGGTGTCAAGAGAGTGGGGCTCTCGGGAGAGCTGCGGCTCTCAGCTTCCGTTCAAAAGGGCGTGAACTTGCAGGGAAGCGTGGTGGATTGTAAGTAAGGGGACGACGCGAAAGACGGTCCATAAGGGTTCAAATACAGAGGGAAAGGGCCCATGAATAAAAATGCACCCCCTTTTCCAATCGGTTAAGGGTCTTGGGATATTTGGGGTTAAGCATCCTTGAGTGTGAATAGTACTAGGCTGGGTGACCTCCCGGGAAATCCAAACTCAGGAACTTACATTTGGTATTAAAGGGGTTTCGAGTCCGACTCTGTTGGTTGGCTAGGGGAATCACACCACATGAACTTACATTTGGTATTAGAGGGGTTTCGAGTCCGACTCTGTTGGTTGGCTAGGGGAATCACACCACATGAACTTACATTTGGTATCAGAGGGGTCTCGAGTCTGACTCTATTGGTTGACTAGGGGAATCACACCACATGTTGATTGACATCTGGCTAGTCCAGTTTGCTCCCACTGGGCTCGACCCGAGAGGTAGGGTGTCAAGAGAGTGGGGCTCTCGGGAGAGCTGCGGCTCTCAGCTTCCGTTCAAAAGGGCGTGAACTTGCAGGGAAGCGTGGTGGATTGTAAGTAAGGGGACGACACGAGAGACGGTCCATAAGGGTTCAAATACAGAGGGAAAGGGCCCATGAATAAAAATGCACCCCCTTTTCCAATCGGTTAAGGGTCTTGGGATATTTGGGGTTAAGCGTCCTTGAGTGTGAATAGTACTGGGCTGGGTGACTTCCCAGGAAGTCCAAACTCAGGAACTTACAAACACTTTGTTCCTGAGTGCCATCTCCTCGAAAATCTCCCTCACCTCTCCAACAGATGCATTGGCGACACATCTGGCAAGCATCACATTGAAACGATCTTCTTGCGGGGCATCAATTGGAAAAAAAATCTACTGTGAGATCGTGGAGACTGGTGGGCATCGTTTGGAAAAAAATCTACTGTGAGATCGTGGAGACTGGTGGGCATCGTTTGGAAAAAAATCTACTGTGAGATCGTGGAGACTGGTGTTGGCGTAAGCCGCGAGCATCGCATCCCACAAGACGAGCATGTGGTGTTCCATTTGATCGAAGAGCTGCTTGCATATCTCGAGAGCATTACATTTCACAACTGGACGTTCCTGCTCGGCATCAGATCAAACGCTTTCGATGCGAGTAGGTGCGTAGGTGGAGATCACAACGCAACGTTTTTGTGAGGCATTTGTCAAAGATCTCTCAGGCTACTTCCAAGTTCCCGTTATGGGCAACTGTCAATAGCGTTGTTGACGAGACAACATCCGCTCCATCAAAAAATCCAAAGACCATAACCTTCTGGCATCCTTCGGCCTTTATCCATTTGCCCTTTCTGGGAAAATGGATATCTTGAGTCAATCGCAGTTCAAGAGACGCTACTGGGTTCTTGGATTGATCGTCTCGGGTATATGCAGTGATCATGACCGTTTTATAGACGAGGTTCTCCTGTTCTGTTTTTTAAAAGCATTAGAACGGTGACTTATTTTGTACAAATGTATTTTCCTCAACTAAAACTTACTTGATGGCCAATTTCCCAAAGTTAGTATACCAGCTATACCTGTTCATGGTGAGCTTATCCACTGGGGAGCAAGCAGCAGTCTTGAGTTGTATCGCCACTAAAGTTTGGTTGTCCTTATTAAACTCACTTAACATACCACATTCCTTGGCGGCCCTTTGCATATATTTTTTATTCTTGCTCATCAGCTCATCCTCCAACAGCAGCTTTTCCATCTTCGACTGTGCGCAAAACATATCCACGCCATCAGAAGCAAGCACAAGAAACCCACATCCTTGCGGTATCTCAAACTCCACAATGTCTGGAACTGGGCTCACAGCTTGTTCTTCAGCTCCAAACTTTTTGTTAGACTTGAAACATCGATCTCCCAATGATCTTGTCATGGCAAGCTGCCACATGTGTACGCCCTGTTGAACGATAGACTTGTCAGCCGTGAGGGAACCTCCGGCTCTTCGAACCCGATCCATCTCCCCTGGGTAAGAGTGTTTGTGATCTTCCGTGAGTTTGATCCACGTTCCATCCTGTTGCAGCAGCATAGCAAATGAATCCCCAACGCTTGCAACAAAAACTTTGGTGGCGGTGATCAAAGCCACTGTTGCTGTTGTTCCACTGGTGCCCCTTCTGATTAACAAGCGCTCGAGCTCCATGAACACCTGGTGCAAGCTCTCTGCGTAGTTACCGCGATGGAAATCTCGGTTTGAAGCCAAGAGGCTGCCAATCTTCTCTTTGACATAGATGGCAGCTGAGTTGCCACCATGTCCATCGTAAACGCCAATAAGCGACGCACTGCTACCAACGATACTCTCCATGGAACACGTATCTTCCATTGCCCATCGCTGACCCTTCTCCATGAAGCCCAAAACTTTGACGCGAACGTCTTCGAAGGATTCCATTGCTTTTCCCCACACCCTAAAAGCCACACTATTTATTTGAAAGGACTGAAAGGGGCTTTTATTTGGAGGTTTAGGGTTTTTTGGCGATGGCATTAGCGGGCTATGGCTTGGCGCTCGCGATTCCAGCGCCACGCTGCTGGAGAAGGCGCTGTGGCGGGATTGTCCACGCATCAGCGTCTCCACCACCTCCAGGTGATTCCCAGCGGCTGCGCATTCTCGAATCGCTCGGAGAAGTGAGCAGCTCTTTGATCGCATTGTCCGAGGCCATGGCGAAGGCGTCATTGGCGGTACAGCAGCTAGCGCAAGCGATCCGGGAGGATGCTGGCGTGGGAGTGGAATCTTACGTCTCGGATGTGGGGGATAATCGTCCCGGAATTGGTAGTGATAATGAGACAACACTGCGATTGCCATCGCAAGATATACAGGATCGCAATACTCTTAGCCATGGCTTGGCATTCCGGCTCCAACAATCTTTCTTGCAGATGCGACTGGAAGGCCTTGGTAAGCCTTTCGAGGTATTTTTTTTTTCTTTAGTTTATATTTTTTGGTTTTTTTTCTCTCGAAACTAATTCATTGGCTTTTGTTTTGCAGCTTGCGGCTGAAGAATTCGTGAGTGCCTGTATTGAAGCACACCAGTCCTCGATCTCCATGGAGGAATTGCAACTCCAACTTATTCTTGCTGATGGCGCGCTCTCGGGTGTGTTTGCGATCCAAACCGATGATCCAAAGGCGAGCTATCTTATGAGCGAGGTAAATGGTAATAGTCTTTTTCTTTTTCTTGTCCGACGAGCTTTGTTGCTACAGGAAGCTCGACTTCGTGCAGCCTGGATCCGATATGTCTATGTCACAATCTCAGAAGTACCAGTACTTGTGTTAAGAAAAACCTCTTACGTGTTTTCTCTTTTTGTGTCTTGTCACAGGTTAATGCGAGACAAAATCAAACAGCTGGACCGAGATCAACTGCAACGGACCCCGAAGATGACGAAACAACTGGACTGGGATCAAACTCAACAGTGAGAGATGACGATCCGTCCAACGTTTTTGTTAAGCAGGTAATCTGTTCTCTTCAAGAGCTCATCCAACGCTTTCTCTCCATTCAAGGTGATTAAGGGTGCAGTGGACGAAGGCTACAACCTTGCGAAGCTGAAGCTTGAACAGGTCGATCTCGTTCTTTTTTCTTGAGCACTAATGTTTTTACCGTGCGCTATGGATGTCTGGTATCCAGGAATACTCCGGCCCGCCGCAGTCACCATCTGTTAGAACCCTGCGCCAAAGCAATTTTTTGATCCTGCTAGCTTTCGAGATCTTCTCTCGCAAGTGAGGTCTGTCTGACGACAGTGGAGTAGTAAGTAAAGAGAACTCCAATTTTTGTTTGTGCATACTAACTTGCAAGGAGCCCCATTGTCATAATCAGAGAATAGCAAAGACATCAACATCCAAGAAGGAGATATATTACCGAACAAAAGAAGTCCAAGCCTTCCAGGCAAGCTCTCTTCCGTTGGTCTAAAGGTAAACTCTGGACGATGCCCATTGCGATTCACAAAAGTTTCTCTTTTAGGTGGGCATTCAGTCCATCCACAAACGCTGGCCGAATCTCTTACAGCATGGAACGCTCAGGCCAAGTTTGACAAAAAAATGGAACCTCAGTTTTCAAGGGTTTGGTGAGTTATTTTATCACCAGCACAAACACATGGCAAAAAGAAAGCCCGAGATTATGCCTGGGATTTTGGAGCTGTCACTGTTGGGGCTCAGACCAACCAGGGAAAAAAGGTCCAGGCCAGCCCAGAAAGCAAGAAAACAGTAGAGGCCTCTTTAAAGTCTGTGGGGGAAGCAATTTGACACTCACCCAGACACACACAAAAAAATCACACACCCAGAAAGGGAAGGGGCATAAAAAAAAAGAAGAGAATATCGCGAAAAAAATTTTAATTTCAATGGTTTTAGAAAGCAATTTGAAATGGATTTTCTTGTCAAAGAATCAAGATGGACCCGCACAGCCTTTTTGCTGGAGCGCAATTCCGCCTCGTGCATTTTGTTTCGTGTTGGTTTGCCCCGGCGACCCCACTCCACGCACCAGCGAGTCCTCTTTTGCGAAAAGCATGTCTCCGAGAAACCATCCCCCAATCATTTTTCCAGCCAAAATCACGTAAAAACTTCCTCCATTTCGCCTTGATCAATCAAAGGCTAACTCCACTCCTTTCTCAATCAGTCCACATTTGCAAAACTTTTACAAGGGATAGAGAAAGAGAGAGAGAGAGGGGGCGCGTTTCTTCTATCACACTCTCTCTCTCTCTCTCTCTCCAAATTCCTATCTCTCCAATCTCCATCTCTCCATTGTTGTTGTCCTCTCATCCCCAGATTCCAGAAAACCACACTAGATCTGTACACTCACACTCCATAACCACATGAAGCAAGTACAGCATGTACACATTGCAATCCCTCCAATAAATCACAAGGAATGCAGCGCTTTGCGTTGCTGCGTACTAACGCAACAGGCAATCGCTGCCGAAAAGATGGCATCATAAATCTAGGCCCATCTGGCTTCCTTGAACTGATCCCCACCCATCGTTCCAAAGTTCTTGTTGGTCGGGCCTTGGATCTAGAGTTGCGAGGACGATCTCGAGTGGACCAGCATGTCCAATCCCTGCGAAGTGGAGGCCCCCTGTACGAAGAAGTGGGGCGGGATCTGGAGCAGCGAATCGAAGCTGGGCGATGCGCGCCTCGCGTAGTGATCGCTGCTGCTGCTGCTGCTGCTGGTGTTACCGTTGGTGGTGGTGGTAGCGGTGATTCCAAATCCAGGAGACGAAGAAGAGGCCACTACTGGCAAGGACGAAGATGATGCCGCGCTCGATGATCTCTGCCCGGCTGACAGAAGAGAGAGAGCACCGCCTTGCGAAGATGTGTTGCTGTTGCAAAGCGGTGGAGGAGGGGGGAGAGGAGGGAGGAGGAAGGAGGAAGAGGTGGAGGAGGAGGGGGAGCAAGAGGAGGAGCTCTTGAGGAACTGGATGAGCTGCTGGTGCTGCTGGGTGATGTCGTAGAGGCTGGCGCCGTGGAGGGCCTGGTAGATCTGGGACGAGGACGAAGAGGGCGATAGGATCTTGGAGTCCTGGTGATGCTGCTGCTGGTGCTGGTGTTGATCCGGCCAGCTGCTCAGGAACGATCCATCCAGGACGTGGCGCTGGTGGTGGTGGTCGTGTTGGATCTGGACAGCGGGCTTGTAATCCCCTGAGAGAAACACCCAAATCAGTGGAATGGAAAAACGATCACTCTCCCTCTCGTACCTGGAAAGATGCCCAGCTTCCCGGAAGAAACGATCGCCAGCCCCGACTCGATGATCTGCGTGGGCTTCCTCCGCCGCTCGTTGTGCCCCGCCAGCCTCTTCCGGCAGCTCCTCTTGCCATCGTCAAACTCCTCGAGGACATGAAACCTGGAAGAAGAAGAAGAAGAAGAGATACGCAAAGATGAGAAGAAGCGTTCTCGCCATAGCCACGCGACCTAAAACCTTGCTCTCACCGGCTACACTGCTGGCAGAACCGCTTCTCGATCCCGTCCACCACGCTCTTGGGCGTCTTGGAGTGGACCTCGCACACGCGATGCCGCCGGTGGTAGCCCTTGGATCCCCGCAAATCGGTGCCGCATCCCTCGACCTGGCACACGGGCGCTACCTGCGGCTGCGACGGCCCGCGCTGCTTCTTCCTCCCCGCCATTGCCCCGCCGCCGCCGCCACGATCAGCCACGAACACCTCTCCTCCAGCTCCAGCGCCTGGAAATCCACGCTTCTCCGCGAAGCTCGGCTCCTGCCGCTGCATAATATCGCGATTCCAGCCCCCACGCGACGCGATTCGGCGATCGAGGCGCCAAGAGCACGCGCTAGAGCGCTAGATTCTGGGAGACAAGGAAGAAATCTCTCTCTTCGCGTGTCACTTCAGCCGATCAAACCCTGGATCGATGGAGTGCGCTGGGGTGGATCTCTGCGATTGGCGGAGCTCCAAGAATCCTCGCGTCCAGTGGACCGCGACGATCCATCCACCATCGCGCATTTTCTCTCTCTCCCACAGACACTCAATTATCCCGCCTCGAACAAAGGGCCGCCGCCTACACAGCTACTATATAGCCAGTCATCCTTTCAAACTTCCACAGGTCGGGGGGTCGATTCCTGTCAGCGAATGTGCCACGAGAATATTCCGCTCATTTTAAAATTTGAAGGTTCTCACACGAGTTCTCTTTTTCTGTGCGTTTGGTTCACCAAAACCGTGAGCAAAGTTTCAAGCTTGATCGCAAACTTCTTCCACTCCAGACCAGCCCGATCGCGATCGACCAAAACTGTGAAGTTTCAGGCTTAATCGCTAACTACAAAAACTGTGACCAAAGTTTCAAGCTTGATCGCTATCTTCTTCCACTCCAGACCGACCAAAAGTGTGACCAAAGTTCCAAGCTTGATCGCTAACTTCTTCCGCTCCAGACCAGGCCTATAGTGATCGACCGAAGCTGTGACCAATTCAAGCTTGATCGCTAACTTCTTCCGCTCCACACCAGGCCGATAGCGATCGACCGAAGCTGTGACCAAAGTTTCAAGCTTGATCGCTAACTTCTCCTTCCGCTCCAGACCAGGCCGATCGCAATCGAAACCAAAAAACCGAGCTTTCGACCGTGATCAGCCGCTGTAGATGCTGGAGAGGAGGAGATATGGAGCAGCATCGCCCGGCTCCGATTTCGCCAAGCTCTCGGCCACCGGCATGGCTCGCCGCTCGTCTCCCTGAGCCCGACACGAATCCAGCAGCGCCGTCCAGACGATCGAGTCCGCCACAAACGGCATCGTCTTGCTCAGCTCCTCGGCCCGCCCGAGCTGCCCCGCGCGTCCCAGCACGCTCACCATGCACCGGAAGTGCGCCTGCTTTGGAGCCACTCCGTGATCGCCCTCCATCGCCAGGAACAATCCCCGGCCCCTCTCCACCAGCCCTTTATGTATGCACGCCGAGAGCATGGCGATCGTCGTCACCGCGTCCGGCTTGAATCCCTCCAAGCTCATCGCCTTCCACAGCTCCACCGTCTCCTGCTGCTGCTCGCCACCATGGAGCGCGTACGCCGCGACCATGTAGTTCCACGCCACTGTATCCCACTCGGGGAGCTCCGCGAAGAGCTTCCGCGCCGCCGGGACGTCCCCGCTCTTGGCCAGCGTCGAAAGCAGCAGCGTCCACGACACGGCGTTCCTCTCCGGCATGGAATCAAAGAGGAGCTTTGCCTGCTCCCAGTGCCCGTTCTGATCGTAGGCCGCCACCATCGCGTTCCAGGACACCACATTCCACACAGGCATCCGGGAGAAGTAGTCCCAGGCCTGCGCGACGTCGCCGTTCTGTCCATAGCCCGCCAACATCGTGTTCCAGGACACCACGTCGTGATGGGTCATGCTCTCAAACAAGCTCCGAGCTTGCTCCATATGCCCGGCTTGAGCATAGGCCGTGATCATTGCGGTTCTCGACACCAAGTTGGCCTCGGGCATCCGATCAAAAACCGATTTTGCGAGCTCCACCTCGCCGCTCTGGACATATGCGTAGAGCAGCGCCGTCCAGGAGACGATGTTCCTCCTCGGCATCCGCTCGAACACCCTCCTGGCCTCCTCGACATGCCCGTTCTGGGCATACACCGCGATCATGCTGCTCCACGAAACCACGTCCCTGTTGGGCATCGCGCGGAAGAGCTCCCACGCCTCGTCCACCAGCCCGTACTGACCCTTCGCCGCGATCATCACGTTCCAGGAAGTGGTGATCCTCTCGGGCATCCGGTCGAAGAGCGCCGAGGCCTCGTCGATCCGGCCGTGTGCTGCGTAGGCCTGGATCATCGTGTGCCAGGAGATGCAGTTCTTGTGCGGCATCCGATCGAAAACGTCCCTGGCCTCCTGGAGGTGGCCTCTCTGCGCGAAAGCCGAGATCATCAGGTTCCAGGACGTGGAGTTCTTGTCCGGCATTGCGTCAAACAAGACTCTCGCTTGCTCCAGCTCGCCGTTTTGGATGTAGCCATTGATCATCGAGTTCCAGGACGTGGAGTTCTTCGCGGGCATCTCGTCAAACATGAGCCTGGCCTGGATCAAGCACCCGGCTTGAGCGTAGCCCGCCACCATCGCGTTCCAGGCAGCCACATCCGGCTGTGGCATCAGCTCGAAAAATCTCCTTGCCTCGTCCAGGAAGCCATTCTCGGCGAAGGCCGTGACCATCGTCGTCCAGGACACCACATCCTTCTCGGGCATCATCCTGAAGAAGACGCTCGCCTCGAGCAAATGCCCGTTCTGTGCATATGCCGCGAGGAGCGCGTTCCACGAGACTGTGTCGGGCTCCGGCATCGCCTTGAACATCCCCCGCGCCTCCTGGAGATGTCCGATCTGGGCATACACCGTGATCATCGTGTTCCAGCTCACGGCATCCTTCTCGGGCATCCGATCGAACACGCTCCTGGCGCCGTGAGGGTCGCCGTTGAGCGCGTGCGCGGAGATGAGGATGTTCCAGGAGAAGAGATTGGGCTCCGGGATGGCGTCGAAGACCCGGCGCGCATCCTCGAGGTTCCGGCACTTGCCATACATGCCGATGAGGAGATTGGCGAGGTGCTTGTTGTGGCGGTGGTCGCTGGCGCGAATGCGGGCGTGGACGCGCTTCCCGGCCTCGAGATCCTTGGAGCTGCTGCAAGATTTCACGAGCCGGACGAATTCCGCGTGCTGCGAGGCGGAATCGATCGATACCTGACCTGGCGATTTCTTCTTGGCGCCGGGATGCCGCGGCCGGCGCTCAACTAGCTGCGAGGTCACGGATCCGGTTGGGGCGGCGAGGAATCCATGGAGCATGCTGGCGCCCTCTCATGGCCGCGGCGACGAGACCCCAAGAACCCTAAATAACAGAGGAAATAGAAAGGGATGGTTCCATGGTATGTGTTCTTGCCCAAAAGCCCTGTGTTCCTCTTGGCCAAGAACACGAAGATCGCCACGATGAGGTCTCTATCCTCGCCAAGATCGTTCGGCAGTGTGGATCCAGCCACGATCTCGACGCAGGCAAGCGCATCCACGCGCGGATCCGGCGAAGCCGTCACTGCCGTGACAAGCTCCTCGCCAATCTCCTCGTGGAGATGTATGGCAAATGCGGGTGCCTGGATCACGCGAGGATGGTTTTCTCAGGGATTCGCCGCCCCAATTCCTTCTCCTGGAGCGCGATGATCGGCGCTTGCGGATCAAACGGCTGCGTGGACGAGGCCAAGAAGATCTTCGACAGCATTCCAGAGAAAGAGAGGACTGTGGCGTCGTGGAATTCGCTCGTTTTGGCCTACTGCGAGGAGGATGGGGATTTGAGCAGGGCGAAGGAGATCTGGGAAGAGATGCCCGAGAGGGATGAGAGATCGTGGGGGATCATGCTTGCGGCTTATGGCCAGAGAGGGCATTTGTTGAAAGCGGAAGAGATGTTCTCGGATTTGCCACAGGAGAACCTTGTCTATAAAACGATCATGATCACTGCGTATACCCGAGCTGGTCGCGTTGATCGAGCGCTTGAGATCTTTGAATCGATTGAAGATCCCAGTAGCGTCTCTTGGACTGCTATTGTCGCTGCATTTGCCCAGAACGGGCAAATGTATAAAGCTAGAAATTTCTTCGAGAGAATGCCAGAAAGGACTCCGATCGCTTGGAACACAATGATCTCTGGGTTCTCCGATCAAGGAAACGCTGTTGACGCGAAAGAATTTTTCGATCGAATGCCTCGACCAGATGTTGTCTCGTGGACAACGCTGATGACAGCATTTGCCCATAACGGGGACTTGCTAGAAGCTCGAGAGATCTTCGATAAAATGCCACTTAAAAACGTTGCGTCGTGGAACGCGATGATTGGAGCCTACACGCAAGACGGATCGCTCGAAAGCGCGAGAAATCTCTTTGATCGGATGCCGAAAAGGAACATCCAGTCGTGCAATGCAATGATCTCGGGGTATGCCCAACACGGGCATGTCGATCAAGCCAGGCAGCTCTTCGATCAAATGGAACGCCACACACTCGTCTCGTGGAACGCGATGCTCGCGGCTTATGCTCATTCCAGTCTCTACGATCTCGCGGTCGAGTTCTTCCACTCGATGCCCCGCAAGAACATTGTTTCGTGGACGAGTTTGCTCAGTCTCCACGCCAACCGTGGCGACTTAAGCTCCGCGCGGGCGATCTTCGACTCGATGCCCGAGAGGAATCTCTGTTCGTGCAATGCGATGCTCGCCGGATGTGTCGCCAATGGATCTATGGAAGTGGCGAGGGAGATTTTCGAGGAGATGGCTCTCAGGAACGAGGTGTCGTGGAACACTATACTGGATGGCTACTCCAAAGCTGGAAATCTGGAAGAAACGAAGTGGATGTTTGATAGGAATCCTCGTCCTGGCGCTGTTTCGCTGGTGGCTCTGATCGAAACGTACGCTCACCACGATCGACTCGACGACGCTCGCGACTTTGTCCAGCAGTTCATGCAAGCTGGAGAGAATTGCGTGGTGTGGACGGCCCTGGTCACGGCTTTCTCTCAGCACGGACGATCGATTCAAGCAAAAGAGCTCTTTGACCAAATTTCCGAGAAGACCATCGTCTCCTGGAACGCGATGGTGGCAGCCTACGCTCAAAACGGGCATTTCCAGCGGGCGAAGAAGCTCTTTGACGAGCTCCCCGAGCGGAGTACCTCGTCCTGGAACTCGATAATCGCCGCAAACTCGACAGATGGTCGCTGGAAATTCGCTCTCGAGCTCTTCCACTCCATGACTCTGGATGGAGTCCGAGCCGACGACATAACTCTGCTGTGCGTTCTCTTCGCGTGCAGCCACTCGGGATTGCTGGGAGTTAGCAGGAACTTTTTCCGCTGCATCTCCAAGGACTGGGATGCTCTCCCTACTTTGCAGCACTACCACGCCATGATAGATCTCCTTGCGCGGTCTGGTGAAGTTGGAAGATCGCAAGAGCTTGTGGAAACAATGCCTTACGTTTCGAGTTCTATTGCTTGGGCGAGTTTACTGGGATCATACAGGACTCAAGGAGGCGATCACAGGTCTCTAGCAAAGCTCGCATCAGGGCATGTAACTAGAATAGAAGCCGGAAAGGCTGGAGCATACGTTTTACTCTCAAATACTATATTCTCTACATATAACTAAATTCACTTTTCAATTTTCTCATGGATTTCATGCATGATAGATTCTGAATATAATCAAATGCATAGTTCTAGTCCAGGTATATTCTATTCCACATTGCTGTAGCTCTAACGGTGCCAAGGCCGCGAGGTTCAAGTCAACCGAAACTTCCCTGGTCTTGTCTCGCTGAAAAACAGATCTATAAAAACCTCACGCTTTGATATGATCGATAAACTCAAAGGGAATTTGAAGCTCCACTCGAAGTTTTCTTCTCCGAGTTTTCTAGCTCCAGTCACTTTAAAGTTTTCTGCAGAAAATGGAGAGAGCAAGGATGGTTCATGTGGTTGTGATCTTGGCCGTGCTTCTTGTGTTTCTCCACGGCGCTGCTGCTGCCAGGCCCTTCCAGTCGCCGTCAAAACCAGCATCATCTCCAGCCATTTCATTAGGATCACCAAGTAGAATCAATTGTAACGAGAAAGAAGGAAGAACACCACCGGTAACAAAGGAAGGAAACCCAGCACATCACAACTAGAAAGTATCTAGTCCTTGGAGGGCAATTCCCAAGGCCATGCTTCTCACTTCGAAAGCTAATATAACAAGTTTTTGACCTCGAGAATCAAGGTGAAGTTGCAAACAATCCCTGGCTACTATACACTTGCCAAAAGTGAGGTCTGATTTTGTTAATTCGGACGAAACTTCTTTTGCGACCGCGAACGGCAATTCTTTCGTGACATCTCATTGAGGCCCTCGAAGGAACTACAGAGAAATCAGCAGAGTCTCGTAATTGGATCCTAACCGACCAAAGACCCGAATTCATTGACCATAGACCATAGACATTATTATAATTGACCGCGGAACAACTGTAGATGCCGGAATCAAATCCGTGCCATTGACAAGCATTCAAAGTGGAGCGACATTTCCCCGCTATATAAGCCCCAAGTTTGCACAACAACCCGAAAGTGAGAGGAGAGATCAGGAATGGTTCATGCGATTGATGCTGCTACCAAGCCATTACTTGAAGTGTTTAGTATCGACTACTTGCTCCAGCCAATTTTTTCAGGATAACAAGGTAAGATCACACCCAGCTACAACGAAAGATAATCTGAGCACAGCCTAAGGCGGTGCCAAACTTTTCATCTGATATAATCAAAATTTTCTTTGTCTCCACAAACCCGTGGATAGCTACCAGGAGGAATTCGATGGCAACGCCACAGCACCATGCAGCGATTTCGTGGACGAGGAGCTACGGCGCGAGATTCTCAAGTACGGCCATGTACAGGAAATGGGACAGCTTTCTCTAGTAGATTTGTTTAGTATTAATTATTAGTGGAAATATAATAAATTGTTACGGCTTGGTTTGCTTAATGGTAGTTTTATAATCTAATTGATCAAATAAAGTTTATAATTATAAGCATGTTTGTAATTTATAAACACAAGATTAATCTTATTGCATATCAAGATGATAAAATAAAAAAGAATATACTAGAAAGAGTTTAAGAAAATTTATAAATTATAAATACAAAATTAATCTAAATGAATAACAACCGTTAGATGGTAGAATATCCTAGAATATTCAAACATATTCTAGATATATAAGCAAACCATTTAAATAATATTTAAATATATTCTAGATATATTCACTACCACTGTCTTACACAAACCAAAAGTATTTTAGTATATCTTATCATTGATTGAGTTTATAAAATTATTTACATTCTTCTCCTTGGGTTCAAAAAGATTTAAAATTTATAATTTTTTTTAAAAAATAACACTATTTATTTACTTACCATCAAAGGACTGAAGAACAACTGTTAGCTTATTCAAGCATTTAGTGGCTTTTACTTGACGGAAGGATACGTACACACACCATAGCCTGCAAGAACACAAGAAACCAAAGCCTCGTTCAAGCAAAACGAAGAAAAGGAGCGAGGATGGAAAACTCACTTGGATCCGAGAGAGTGAGCATCGCCGTGTTCCCAAAGTAGCAGTTCCACTTGTTCCCCCCGTGCTTGACGAAGTAGCTGTTGAACGCGTAGGAAGCATGCGATGGAAGATCATTCGGGTAGAAGCACTGCGCTCCAAACTGGATCGCAGTGCAATCCGCAAGACCCTCGCCGCAAGCGTAATTCAGCGCCACCAGCAGCGAGTTCGCATCGGCATTCGGCTTGGCGACGCACCACACCGGACCGGGACCTCCGGGTCCAATCCCGGGGTTGTTCGGGGGACCGGGATCCGCCGCTGGAGAAGCCGGAGCCGGGGGACTCGACGCCGGAGTGGTGGTGGAGTTTGAGCTCGAGTTTGTCGCGGGAGAGCCTGTGCTTGGAGCTGCCGCTGTGGTTTTCATCAAGCCGATGTCGTAAGACAGCGTTCCATCCGGCCGGAAGATGCCGAAGTTCCTCTCGGACGTCGGCCCCGGCTTGAGGTCCTCGTTGAAGAGCGAGAAGATGTAGGCCTCGAGCGGGACGCGAGGCCGGGCCGGAGTTCCCACACCCGAGTTGACGAAGGATATGAGGTTCCTGTTGTAGTTCATGGCGTTTTGGACGCTGACACCCGGCTCGCTCACGTCCCCGACCGACGGCCACCCCGTCTCGGACACCGAGAGCTCCATGTTTGGGAAGCCGAGCTTCTCCATGGCGAAGTAGACAGCGTCCAGCTGTGCCGAGAGGAGGTTTGTGTAGACGAGGCCTGTTCGTGGATCCGCAAAGCCTCCGTTTGGAAGGAAGAGAGCGTATGGAAGCGAGATGTCGGACGGATTGTTCCTGTAGGCGAAGTAAGGATACGCGTTGATCATGAGCGGCGCTTTGGTGAGCGACAGGAACTGAAGCACGGACTTGAGCGCGGTGTCGACGATCTTGGACTTGAAAATTCCGCTGGATGGAGGAAACGAGACCGAGAGGATGCCGAGCGACTGTGGCGACGTGACTTTCACCTGGTCGTCAGCTTTGAAACCCACGAGCGCGTTGTGGAGGTTTTGCATTGCCGGGAGGAGCACGGACGCTAGCTGCTGCTCGCTCGTGGTGAGAACCTCGTTGCCGACGCTGATATACTTGATCTTCGTCTTTGGGAGGTGCTGGACGACGTTCTTGGACACCCAGGCGTTTGCGAAGCTCGGGCTTCCCAGCCTCGGGATCTCCTCGTTGGTCACACCGATCACCACCTCGACGCCGGTGTCCGAGAGCGCAGAGAGCATGGCCGAGTCTGCGTCGTAGAGCTTGAGTTTCCCAATGGACGACGACTTAAGAAGCTTGACAACTTCCCCTGGAGGAGAAAGGTTGTCAGCCAGGCTTCCATAGTTGACGCCTATGGCTGCCTCCGCTGATAGAACGAACAAGAACGAACGGTCTCAGACTCGGCCAAGAGAAAGGAAAAAACCAACATACCTGACGATATGCTACTCGCAAACACCAGCCACAGAGCAACGAAGAGCATAGCCACCTTGTTCTTCTTCCCGATGGTTCCAATCACCATCTTCTTCTTCTTCCTCCTCCTCCTCGCCTTCTCGTTCTTCGCATTCACCTCGCAATGCCCCCCGAGGAGAAAAAAAATGCCACCTTTGCAAAAGTAGTAGCAAAGGCTCACAACGTACGACACTGCCGCTGCCAACATCCCAGAGCCTCTTTTCTCGTCATTCTTTCTTTCCAGTAACCGGTATTAAAGTTCCAAGCTCCTCGTCTCTTGCAGCGCACAAATCTATGCTCCTTTTCGTCCAAATTTGATAGCGACATGTCGCTAAAGCTTCTCCCTCCTTTAAACCCAGAAGCTTTTCTTCCTCTTCCGCTTCGCTTTGGCAGAAAAAAGAGGAAGAAAGGCGACCGCGAAGTCGACCCGACAGCGGCAGGCAGAGATCTGGCGCTTGTTCGCTGAGACACGCACCAAATTTCTGGGAAATCCGGTGACCTATCCATCGCCGAATTTATCTGTACCTGCGTTGCCGCTCACTCCATCGTCCCAGGGCATGAAAATCGTCGCCTACCAAATCGCCCAAGAGCTCGAGCCCTAAACTCAAAGGCGGGTAATTTAAACATATTTTTGGAGGGAAATTTAAAATCCACCCAACCTAAGTGGCGGGAATTTGAATGCTGTGGAGAAGCACGTAAGGCGCGGAGTTCTTGGCATCGAAGCTAAACGCTTGCCTGGCGGCGTGCTTGGCGAGATCCGGGTTTCCATGGATCTTGCAGGATCCCACCAACGTCGTCCATGAAATCCCATCTCCGGATTGCTGCTGGATCATCTCCCGGGCCCTGTGGAGCTGCCCAGATCGCCCCAGGATATCGACTAGGGCTCGTCGATGTTCCAGGGTCTCCTCGATGCCGTAGTCCGATCGCATCGATTCCAGGCAGCTGGAGCAGCGATCAACCATCCCGGCGTGGGCGCAGGCCGTGAGGACGCTGCTGAAGGTCACATCGCTGGGTTCCAATCCCTCCATCGCCATCGCCAGGAAGAGCTCCAGGCTCGAAGCATGGTGCCCATTTAGCGCGTAGACGGCGATCATCGCGTTCCACGATATGAGATCCCGCCACGGCATTTGATCAAAGAGAGCTCTCGCCGATTCGATCCGGCTGTTCTGCCCCAATCCAGCGATGAGCGCGTTCCAGGAGACGAGATCGCGGCACGGCATGGCGGCGAAGAGCGCGATCGCGGCATCGAAGTGGGCGAAATGGGCGTAGCCAGCAATCAGCGACGTCCACGACACCACATCCCAGTGTGGCATTCGATCGAAGAGCTCTTGCGCTTCGTGGAGCCTCCCTGCTTGTGCCAGCGCGGCCACCATCGCAGTGGAGAGGATCACGTCTCGGCTAGGAGAAGGGAATCCCTGATAGAGCTCGATCGATTCTTCCAAGAGTCCGATCTGGGCGTACGCCGCCAGGAGCGCCGTGGTCGCCATCGCGTCGCGCTCGGGCATTCGATCCAGCAGGCTCCTCGATTCCTCCAGCTCCCCGTGCTGGGCATAGCCCGCGACGATGGTGTTCCAGGAGATTTGATCCCGCCGCGGCATCCTCTCGAACAGATCCCTCGCGCTCGCGAGATCCTGGCGCCGCGCGTAGCCGGAGATCATCGCGTTCCAACTGACGAGATTGCGCTGCTCCATTGCATCGAAGAGAGCCCTGGCGCCAGAAAGATCGCCACTCTCGCACAGCCCAGTGATCACTGCATTGCACGACACGATGCAGTGTCGTGGCATTCGATCAAACATCGCCATCGCCTCGCCGATTCGATCGTTCTGCGCACACGCCGACAGCATCGCCGTCCAGGAGATCAAATCGCCATAGGGCATCTCGAAGAACACGCGCTTCGCATCTTCCAGATGCCCATTCTGGGCATATGCCGCAAGCATGGTGTTCCAGGAAACTATATTCCTCTCCGGCATCCACTCAAACACGTATCGCGCTTTCAGGATATTCCCGTAATGCCCGTGTGCCGCGATCATAGCCGTCCACGAAACGACGTCGCGAAAAACCATACGCTTGAATATGCCTAACACGGTTTCCAGATGCCCGGCATCGGCATTTGCTGCAAGGAGGGCATTCCACGCTACTAAGCTGTGCTCCGGCATCTTTTCCAAAAGAGAATCTCCCACTGCAAGATGCTTGTTCTCTACGCACCCGCAAATCATCGCGTTCCACGTGGCAACGTTCCACGCCGGCATGCCATCGAAGATTCTTCTAGCCTCGTCAAGATACCCGGCCTGGGCATATGCTCCGAGCATCGTGTTCCACGTCACCACGTCCCTCTCCTCCATCTGATCAAAGAGATCCCGGGCGTCCGCGAGCCGTCCATTTTGGATATACGCTGCCATGAGAGTGTTCCAGGAGACGAGGTTTCTCACTGGAGGAGGAATCTCTCTAAAGACACGCTCTGCGTTGCGGAGATCTCCATTTTGCGCGTAGCCGGACATCATGATGTTCCACGAGAAGGCATTGCGAGCTTGGATGCTGGAGAAGACCTCGAATGCTTGCTCCAAGCTCCCACACTTTGCGTACATTTCCACCAGGAGGTTCTTGAGCAAGAGATTGTTCGCGAGATCGCTGCGCTCCACCTGAGCGTGAACCTCTCTTCCGCCGGACAAATCCTTGCAATCCCGGCAGCGAGTTATGCGCTGCGCAAATTCCTGGAGCGCCATTGCTTTGATCACTTGGAACCAACTTTGGATCCATGACCCCTGTAACTTTCACAGGAAAAATCGTTAAGAAGCTCGCAAGTTTTAACTAACTCCTACTTCAAATAAAACTTAGAAAAAACGCTACAAACGAAGACTTAGAAGAGATAGAAACTTATCTATGAGAGTACGTAGTAAGAGATCATACTACTCGGCGTGAAAGACTGGCCCCTGTTTGATCAAGCAAAGTGAGCTGCGAAGAAAACGTAACGGAGGCAATACGTACCGAGAGGGTATATCGTTCGTATGTGTGAACTAGCTTGTCATACTTGAGCGTCCAAGCTTCCGTGAGCTTCTTCTCCTTCATCTCCGCGTCTCTCTCGAGATTGGACACCAGCTCGCTATAGTCCTGCTCCACCTTCTGTAAAAACTGCTTTTTCTCCTCCTTGAGAGCTTTCACTCTGGCGTCCACCTCCTGGATCTTCTGGCGCTGCTTCTCGGCCTTCTCACACTCCAGCTGCTGCTTGAGTTCCTTGAGCTTCGAGCTGATCCCCTTCTTCTGCTGAATCCAGTTCTCTCGCTGCTCTCTCAGCTCCTTGAAAAGCTCAAACATTGACAGATTCGAGCCTTCGTTGTTGTCGCTTGATTCGGAAGCTGGATCCAGGCAGTCGAGCCCCTCGTCGGCTGTCCGCGAAGAGGACAGAGACAGCGACGATTCAGTGAGCGTCGAGGCGATCTGGATCTCCAGCTTTTTCGGGATCCACTTTGGCATAGTCATGCCAGAAGTCGCCACCACCTCCATTGGGAACTGCTTCTGAAAGGTCGTAGACGGCCCCAGAGTGAGCAGCGTTTCATCCCCGGACAAAGCCTCGGTGGTGGTAACTCCAGACGCATTGTTTCCAAAGTGATCCTGGCATACTGTCGGCGGCCCGCATATGTCATTCGCATCTGGTGTCGACGTAGAAAACGCAGGAGCCCCGTTGACGCAGAGATCAGGCGTGCTCGAAAGGAAAGGCCTCGAGAAACCCGGACCTAGAGCTTGAAGATGCATCGTTTCCGTGACCATGCTGTCACAGTTTCCCGTCGCTGCATGGGTGCTCAGCAACTTCTTCTTGTCCTTGATCAAGCGTTCCTTGTAAACCTCCCACCACTTGCCTAGGCGTTTAGCTGTTCGTCCCGGAACTTCGGCCGCAATGCGCTTCCATTTGTTGCCGTACTTGGTCTGGAGCTTGATGACAAGCTGCTGTTCTTCGTCTGTGAGAGGCCCCTTCTTGATCCCAGGTTTGAGATAGTTCTTCCACCTTTCGTGGCACGACTTGGGATCTCGGTCGAGCGGTTCACCCATCCGCTCGGAGATGAGGTTCCAGTCGTCTGCCCCATACTGTGTCACGTAAGCGCATAGAATAGCGTCTTCCTCGGGCTGCCAGCGTTGTCTATCTTTCGTTGCGATTGACATTTTCATAAATCCTGAAAGAGTAAACAAATGCCACCATTTGTTTAGAAAAAAACATTGAGGCGTTACCTTCTCGTGCTGTCTTTTTGCAAAGGTTGACTACATCTTCAATAGAGAAAAGAAAGAACAGGAAAAAAAAAGAGAGAAAAAAAACCTGGCCAGCAGAAAAAAGAAAAGAGGAAAAAAGAAACAAGGAGACTAACGTGAACTCCAGGACACTAAGGAACAAGAACAATCAAAGTCTACAGCCATTTTACCGCGATCTTTGATACTAAGAAGAAGATGACGAAGAAACGCCATAAACGAGAAAATACTGGCCAGGTGAACTTCGATGCGGATCACATACTACTATGCTCACCACTCAACGAGGAGAAAACGCAAAAAAACCACGACGAGTTTAGCTACCCGAGGACAAGACTATCGCACTTACTTCTACATCCATGGCTGGTCACGAACTTAGCGGACTGCCATAGCTCCAACTCAAGCCAAGTTCTAAGTATATACACCAACAACGCGACGCAACATTGTTACACAAAAAACGCGAGCGATTTAGCGCATAGCCGCCATGACTGAGCAAGCAAGCACAACAGAATTTAACGACAGGCCATGGTAAAAAAAACCCGAGGAAATTAGCGACTGAGAGACGCCATACTTTCGATTGTTTAAGGCAGGAAAAAAACCATGGAAAGAAACATCAACTTTAACGAAAGGCAAGCATCTTTTCTGTTCTTTCTTCTCGACTTTAGCGAGTGAAACGAGCCATGAGAATTGAGCTCAAGAACTTAGCGACAAGCTGCCATGGATGGAGCGAAGACGCTGTGACTTAACGAAACCCAGCCATGGAACACGCCGACTTAACGAATGGAAATGTCAAATCCAGCCATGGAACGCACCGACTTAACGCGTGATAGACATGATCGGGGGGCAGGGTTAAGCAATTCTAGCGCAGCATGGCGAGATTTCACACACAGAGAGCTCTAGCGGCCGAGAGACGCCATAAGGAAATCCTTCCTCTAGCGGATTGCCACAGCCATAGAATGCAATGCAGATCCGGGGTTAGCGACACACAGACATGGCGAGCGGCGGATAATTGGAGAGATTTAGCGCAGTGGAGCCATCTCGCTACACAGATTCAGGAAGAAGAGCTTATCTGCGAAGAAGATGAATCGCCGCACCAAAAGAAGCGCCACAGCCTCCAAACGCGCACAAGAACACGGTGAGTGAGGGGTAGGGTTCTCTATTTCTTTTCAGTGCGGGCAATTACCGTGGAAAATGTGGCGAATGGGCCAAGATTGTACGCGTTCGTACACTGACCACTGCTCTTGTATATTGGTGTATTCTGACCGGACGCGTGGCGGTGGCATCTAAAGCAAAGACAAGATCCCTACGGAAAATCTGGTTACTTTTAAAATTTGAACTCGGTTTCCTTTGGTTAAGAACAAAGGCATTTGTTAACAGTCTCAAAATCTTAATTTAATTTGTTTAGTTTGATTTAATATTTAAACACAAAGTATAAAAAGAAATAAATGAATGATAATAGAATCACACAAATAAATAACAATATGGATTGAAAATTGAAATATATAGTTATTAAAAATCATAGTAAAAGAGTTGCAAGCTATGGCAGTGAATATGGGGTGCATTTTTTATTTACACATGTGCAGATATTTGTTTGTGGTTTTCAATTTCACACAGTCCTATTTTGATTGTTATATATCATTTCACTACAATTATGATTATGTGCATTACAACATTTATATGCAAAATAGTATACCACACTTTAGTAAAGAGATTGAATACCCTGTTGCAATATGTATAGCATCTGCAATTCTTTTTTGTTTTAAAGTAAATTGACACTTTTGCAAATGCATCTTTAATGTATTAGAAGCTCCAAATGGTGGCATTGCCAAATTAGTGCAATTGGCAGTTGATAATAGCCAGTGCATGGAGGCTCATGGCCAACATTTGATGGGTAGTATCTTTAATGCCTAGTTAGCTTTGCTTCTAATTCAGCTGAATTTAGCCACACATTCTTGCCAACTTAAAAGACAAAGAAGAAGATGCTAACATGGCAATAAACTAAAAAGGATTCATACTTTGACCATGCATGCCAATATATATATATATAGATAGATAGATGCATTGATTTGTGAGAAAAAATTTAAGCACACATGTAGTTGCTTTCAAAACCTGCAAGAAATTACTTGCTATAATTATCCTTATCAAATATTAAATCTTTAATTTTTATTGTTTTGGTTGGTTCTTGTGGTTCTAAACAAGAGAGAGAGAACTGTTAAAATTAAAATTGAGATTCTTTGGGATGAACAATTTTAAAATTAAATACCTAATAACAGTTTAATATTTATAGTTATATTGACTTATGATTACTCTATAAACGGAAAAAGAAATCCATAAAGATCTTGTCTCCATTGGATCTTGTTGGAGATACCCCCCACGCATCCAGTCCCAATACACAATAGCAGTGGTCAGTGTATGAATGTGTACAATATTGGCCCATTCACCACATTTTCCATGCCTGCTGACAAAAGAAAAAGAGAACCCCCTGCTCTTGTGCACGTTTGGGATTCTTAAGCTTTTTCTGGTATTTTCCTGAATTGGTAGTAAATGAACAGAACATAAAAGCAAAAAGTATACCATCTGATTTTTGCCCCTCTAATTTCTTCTTGCTTGTTGGATTATTTCCCCTTCTTTGTTTCCATCTTGTCTCTTGGATCCCTTGGAGAGGATGTAGTTGGCTTTATAATTTCTGTGTGCAACCGGGTGCTTGCTTGATTTCGTCATCCCAGGACACTTTCATGGGCACAGCTTCTATGTGATTAAGCACTGGTTTGATGGTGCTTTCCTTCCTTTTTCAACTTCAAATATAAATTCTATAATATTTATCCTTCTGTTTAAGAACAAAGTGGGCCATGAAAGAAAACCTCGCAGCACATACTTTCGTATGCAACCATGACAGAATTCTCATATCAATTGATTGCACCAATTTCTAGAGAGAGAGATCACGCACTCACCTTCTACACATTCTTATGAATTCATTCATTCATACTGTTTATACGGTCTTGTAGCACCCACCATGAAGCGAAGATTGTTGTTGCATTGCTCCACGAATGAGAATTCGAGAACTTCTGGTGGCTAGAAGAAATTAACCACAATTTGTAATATGATAAGAAAACTAAGAGCTTAAAATCTCAGCCGTTAGATTGCCAAATATCTTAGGTGCCTTTAAAAACTATAAACAGAGTTTAAAGTAATCCAAATGCGAATCAACCTTTTTACAAGTTATAATATTCTACAAAATATTTGGAGGTGCTGGCATATGTAACTTATACAGCAAGCGAAGTTGACGGACAATGCCTTCTCTCACTCTCTTGTTCTTTTCTTCACTATGTGCTCACAGCTCCCAGTGTTCTTAACTGTGCCGGGGGGCCTCATGTCAGTGGATGGCATCGGTGTGGTGAAGCTACCTTCTTCTTTCCAGAGGCTGACCCCGGACGAAAGCATCCGCAGAGCAACACTCTGGAAATGGTGTCCAAATCCTCAGACTTTTGATCGTTCCTGCTCCGGGATGCCGGCGTAGAATTTCATTGCGTTGGCTTTGCCGAAGGCTTGGATCTGTGACCAGATTCCGGCCGCGATGGGCAGGCAGCTCGTGACGTTCACAGTGTCTTGTCGTTGAAAGGACCGGGCAGCAAAAACACACCATCCTGGAAAACAATTTCTAGAGTTCTTTACCCAAGCTATATAGTTGTGTGCAAGAGCGTGCCAAGGTTCCCAGGATCCTGTAGACAAACTCACCATTTGACAACTTTTAGACAAGGGAATTAGACAAGTTCTACCCGGAATCTGCGCCTGGTCCCGGGCAGCGAAGGCCAGGGCCTCTGACTCAGCGCGTCGGGGCTCCCAACATTTCACGGTTCCAATGACACAAAAGAGCGATCATAAGTTTCTTCACCAGGATTGGCACGAAACAAGTTTTGTCATCTCCTGCTCCCGGAAGCGGCAATGGCTCATGCGGCCGTTTGATCCGTGCCGATCATCGCCCTCCAAGGGAAGGAATTGGGGGGCGATTCCGATCGAAAAACCATCCTCGCGCGATCCAGGCTCCAAGCTGGCACGATGTGGGCATTGGCATTCCTGCCATGGCCGTCGTGGCCGTGGCCGTATCCACCTGCCGACAGTGCTATGCAAGTTGTGTGTACCAGTTCGGTACCGAGCAAGCAAGTGCCTTGCGTGCAGCCCCAGAGAGTTGTAGACCTACCTTGTCGTGTTGACATTCTCCAGGTAGAAACTGAATTTCTGCCGGAGCTCACTTGGAATATGCTGGGCAGAGTGCCCTACAACTAGAGTGCCCTATCCCACATGCCCAAGCTCAAGTGCTTTCCTTCGATATATAACGGCTCGCGAAGATGATTATCTTAAGAGCGCGCCCGCTTCAAGGTGGGAGTCAGCACGGTGTTATCCTCGGAGGGGGATGATGACGTGGTTGATAATGTGGGGCACATCGCGTCAGGCGGGTAACCGAGCATCGCCATAGCTCCAGCTCTGGCCAGTGAAGGGATCACGCGCTTTTTTTTTTTTTCTTTTCAACGCGCGATCCCGTTCATACTGAGGACTAGAGTTTATGAGCAGGAGTAGGCTAGTCAAGGATCCAACAAAGGTAGCACAACTTTAGACATCCTAAATTTCTTCTTCTTCAGGAAAATAGTCCACACTTTCACCGGCAAAGACCTCTGGACTGACTCCAACTTCTGCCCCGAATGGCTCCAAGAGAAACTCGCGAGCTTGGATCGGAGTGAGAACTCGCTTCAAACAAGTCCATCCCCGCAAGTAAGTTTTATTGATCGAGTTTCGAGTTTGATACTAGCTCTACGATATCGAACAGGCTCTTAAACTCTACGATGAGACGCGCAGCAAAGTGATATTGAGGGAATATTCGTGATTTCCTCTTAGGTGTCGTGTCTGTTCGGTTTTTATTAGTCAATAAGAGAGACGCCCGGGCGTAGCACCAACAGCGGATGGCATTCCAGAGTACATTCGCGATTTCCTATCCCGAATATGGTATCGGAGCGATCACGTCCCACTGTGAAAAAGAAAGATGGCACCCCATCTTCCTTAACCTTGGAAGTGTACGATGGCAAAGATTTCCAGTCATGGAAACCTCAGATACTATTTTACTGAATGAAAAAGGATCTCTGTAGCGTGATCTAGAGCAGCCTCAAGCCAGAGGACGATGCGGATGAGAAAAAGGAGTGGGACGCCAAGAACAACAAAGCTTTAGGGGTCCTGGGACGAGGCCTCGGAAAGAAATATCAGAGCTACCTTGACATGACAAGATGGTGAAGGAAAACTGGGATGCTGTGTGTGTGATCCTTGGTACAACAACCAGAGCAAGATTGTTGGAACTCAAACTACAGCTGAACAGCCGTAAATAGGGGGAGACAAAATCCATAAGTGATTTTGCCAGTGCTCTTGTAGACATCGCCAAGCAGATCGATGCAGTTCAAATAAGGAGTTTGATGAAGATGAGCTGATCACAGCTTTCTTCAAGGGGCTTAGCGGACTAATGCAACTCGCAGGGTCGCATCATTTAAGTTCCAGTAACACTTTCAGCCAGATCGTAGCCAATCTCACAGCGTTGGAGGGTTTTCTCAAGTCAGGGCAAGCGAGCTTGAATGAGAAAGAATTGGCATTCTTCGCAGGAAAGGGGAAACGATCTGTCACAGTATGGGACAAACTAGGACCAACAAACGATCAGGGCGAGAGTAGCAAACCAGAAAAGTTCAAGAAGAAAAAGAAGAATGATCACTGTAACATTTGCAAGAAACCAGGGCACTAGGCACGAGATTGCACAGATGAAGAGGCAAAGAAAGCTAAGGAGGCGTGAAAAGCTGAGGCAAAGAGTGGCAGCAAGAAGGAACGAGTCGGCCAACTTTGCCAGGACAGCAGAAAGTAGTGAGGATGACAACTAGGAGGACGTGGACAACCATGGCAGCTTGTTCATGGCCACTAGTATCCAGCAGTTGCAAAGAACACTCTTGGCATAGAAGCAGAAGTGGTGTACCTTGATTCTGGGGCAAACAAACACATGACACACCTTAGGAAATTTTTCATCACGTTGAAGAAGGTTCCAGGAAATAAGTGAATTTTTCTTGGCGACTGACTACTCATACAAGGTGGAGGGTGTTGGGACGATCGACATCAAGCTGCCAACAAGACAGATTGCCAGCATG